CATCTTCTGTTCCCCAGCGGCATCTGATTGTGCCCATGTCACAACACTTAGGGGCTTGCCTCCAAATGTGTTGGACTTAAGAAGCTAATGTCACACTGATGACCTTGCATGTTGTTGATCTGACGAGAGTAAGGGTGGCCAGATGGCTTGGAGACCATGTCCCAGGAGGGACTACTAAGAAGCCAGAGTGCTGAACCTGGAGAAGTGGTACCTCCGGGGACCACAAGGGCTGTCTGCATCACTGGAGGCCTGTCAAGGGACAGGGAACAGAGCTGCCTGAGGGTCCAGGGCAACAGGTGGGTGTCATAGGGAGGCAGATCTGGCTCAGATAGAGAGTCATGGGCTAGCTGCTTCCCACAACAGATGGATGTCAGTGACCTATCAGAAATGCTCCAAGGGGCACAGGGGTACTGGTGAGACAACCCAGGTAGCAGGGAGTGGTGTCCGGCTACCTCGGCCTTCAACTCTGAAAATTCGGATTCTGGCTCTGAGTCTTCCCCAACGTAGCTGTGTGAGCTGAGATAAGTCACTAACCTTCCTTGACCTTCTTTTTCTTATCTATACAGTAGAGTTATGCACTTCACTGATTGCCTGGGACCCAAATCTGTATGAGAAAATAGAAATGAAAGTGCCTTGTAAGCAATAAATGGTTCAGCCTTCGTAAGCAAGACATGAAACCCAGAAGTCAGAAATGAAAGGACAAAAGATTTGACTACACAAATCTGTTTTTACAAATTAAAAACTTTGTGTGAATACAAAAACCAAGAGAACATTAGAAGAGAAGTGACAAACTGATGGAAAATATTTTCAGCATTTCTGATAATAGGGTTAGCAGACATAGTACAGATAATAAATAAATAGTTCAATAGGCCAGGTGTAGCGGCTCATGCTTGTAATCCCAGCACTTTGGGAGGCCAAGGCAGCAGATCACTTGAGGTCTGGAGTTCGAGAACAGCCTGGCCACTATGATGAAACTCTGCTTCTACTAAAAATAAGAAAATTAGCTGGGCGCGATGGGGATGCCTGTAATCCCATCTACTCAGGAGACTGAAAGGGGAGAATCATCTGAACCTGCGAGGTGGAGGTTGTAGTGAGCCAAGATCATGCCACTGCACTCCAGCCTGGGCAATAGAGTCAGACTCAGTCTAAAAAATAAATAATAAATAGTCCAATGAATCAATAAAGGCAAAAAAAAAAAAGCCAAACCGAAAAATGGACAAAGGATATCTGTAGAAGAAATACCAATAGCCAACACACACATGGAAAAAAATGCTTATTTCACCACTCATACAGAAAGTGCACATGAAACCTCAATGAATGAACATTTTTTCCTCTCAGACTGCGAACAACTTTAAAGATCAGTGATATCCAGCATGGGAAGAATCAGAGATGCTGCATTTCTCACACATGGTTGGTGAGACTGAACATCCACTGGGCCTTTTTGGGGGCACAATTTAAGAATATCTCCACGTTTTAACGTACCTACCCTTTGGCCCGGCAATCCCACTTTTATGAATGGATCCTGCTCCAATGACAGCATATTTGCACAAAGATTCATGTGCAAGGGTGTCCACTGAGCATTGTTTGCAATGGAGAAAAATTAGGGAGAACTAAGATGTCCATTTGTTAGAGGAATGGTGAGATAAAGTGCGGCACATCCATATCATGGAATACAGTGCAGCAATCTAAAAAACGTGGTAAATCTTTATGAACTCATATGGAAAGATTTCTAAGATGAATGATTTTTAAAGACCCAATGCAATAAATAGCATATAATACTATTTTTTAAACTATATAAAGTAGGGATGGGATGGATGGGTGGATGGATGGATGAGCATGTCCGTGCCCAGGCAGATGCCGGGAAGAGTATATACATACCCGTGCAAGTGGTTGAGGTGGGGATAGGGGCTGTGATTAAGAGAATAAGGGTTTGTGGGGCCTTCCATTTAGGGAGACTGCATATCTCTTTATGGATGAATATCTTACAGTGACCTCTAGCACACAAAAACGAAGAAGACTGGGAGGGGATTGCCAGTACCACTAGTCTCTGCCTGGGTCCCGTGATGGCTGGTGGCAGACTAGTGGGCCTGCTGACTACCTTTGCTGTTCATTTCTTTTCAGATGCCCTTCTTTCTCTTCCCTGCCTCTGGCTGGCAAAATCCAACCCTCCCAGGCCTACTGCTTGCCTCAGCTCCCTCTATCAGTTGGCTGTCGCATAGCCAACAAACAACCCTACAAATCTGCAGTGACATATACCAATAAATATGTATTTCTCACTCATCTACATTATTCAGCAGATCTAGCTGGATTGCTAGGGTTTACTCATATGTCTGGGACAGCTGGGGACTCTGCCGTAATCTAGTCTGAGCCATGCCAAGTTCAGGCTTATCTTTCTCATAGTGACGTCAGCAAGATCTGCAGGCAAGGAGAACCCCATGCAATACCTCTGTGGCCTAGACTTGAAACGGACACACCCTTACTTCCATCTCCTTCTGTTGGTCAAAGCAGCTTCCGCACGATCAAGCCCAGATTTAAGGGATGGAGAAATAGGTATTACCTTTTTTTTCTGAGAGGAACTGACAAGTCGCATGGCAAAGAGCTCAGGTACTGAAAGAAAGAATGGGGACTATTAGTGCAATCCTTAGACACCATAAAGAGGGAAAAGACAAACCACAGAAGAGGAGAAGGTATTTGCCACCATATAGCCAAGCATGCATATAATTGTGTGTAGCTGCATTTCATTGTTTTTTTGGTTTATATTATATGATTGTATAAATACTACTTTTTACTAATCTGTTCTATTATTGATGGATATTTAGTTTTTTTCCAGCTTGAGGCTGTAATGACAAAGGCTGCTATGTATCTTAGTACACGTGTGCACACATTCCTATTGTATGTATGCCTGCTGGGGAGTAGAATTTGTTGGATCGTAAGATAATGCACTTTTTTCAACCTAAGTAAATAATGCTAAGTTGTTTTTCCAAGTGGTTGTATCAATTTATGCCCTTACCAGCAGTGGATGAGATTTCCTGTTGCTCCAAATCTTAGTCAACACTTGGTAAGGGAGTTAATTTCTGTATATGTTGTTAGCCGGAAATGAATTGTACTTAAAAAAAATATGGCGAGCCAATGATCTTAGGTCCACTTAAGGCTGTCTTTCCCTCCCCCGTCCCCACTGGTTCTATCATTTGTCAAGTGTCCATATGATCCATATCTACGACTTTTTTTTTTAAGAGACAGGCTCTCACTATGTTGTCCAGGCTGGACTCAAAGTCCTGGACTCAAGGGATCCTCCTGCCTCAGCCTCCTTGATAACTGTGACTACAGGTGCATGCCACTGTGCCCAGATACAAGGATCTTTATTTTCACCACCGGTCTATTTGTCTGTCTGTGAGGCAACATCAGACTGTCTTAAGCATCTTTATAATATTTCTGGATATCTACCAGAGAAAGAATTCCCTGTTTTATTTCATTTTCTTCAAGACTGTCTTGGTTATTCTTGGCCCTTTACATTTTTTTCCCATTTGTTTTATAAAAATTTAATTTATACACAATAAAATTCACCCTTTTTAGTCTGCAATTCTGCTACTTTTGACAAATGTATATAGTCATAGTTATCATTGTCATAATCAAGCTATATTTTCATCACCAAAAAAATTCCCCTGTGATCCTTTGAAGCTCTCCCTTTTCCTCCAGCCCCTGGCAGCCAATGATCTATTTTCTGTTTGTTTGCAAGAGTGTCATATAAGTAAAATCATAGAGGATGAAGCCTTTTGAATCTGGCTTCTTTCCCTTAGCATAAAGAATTTGAGTCATCCAAGTCATCGAGTACATCAGAAGTTTGTCCTATTTAACTGCTAAGTAGCATTCTAATATATGGATATACCATAGTTTGTTTATCCATTTAACAGCTAGGGGACATTTGAGTTGTTTCCAGTTGGAGGTGATTATGAATAAGGCCACTAGAAACATTTACTTAGAGGTGTTTTTTTTTTTTTTTTTTGTGAACATCAATTTCCATTTTACTTGGAATGCCTAGGAGTAGGATTACTGAATTATGGTAAGGGTTTCCTTTTAACTTTACAAGATACCACCAGACTGATTTCCAAAGTGGCTGCTCTTTTGCATCCTGACTAGCAATACATATATGAGGGTTCTATTTTCTTCTTTTTTCGTACAAACTGTAAGAAATGGCATTAAAATGAGAGTTCTATTAATAGAAGTCTGCTTTGTCTGATATTAATACAGCAGCTCCAGCTTCCTTTAAGTTTTATTTTATTTTTGATTGACACATGATAATTGTACTTTTTTTTTTTTTTAAATGGAGGGTTTTACTCTTGTTGCCCAGGCTGGAGTGTAATGGCATGATCTCGACTCACTGCAACCTCTGCCTCCCAGGTTTTGGCAATTCTTCTGCCTCGGCTTTCTGAGTAGCTGGAATTACAGGCATGCACGACCACCCCTGGCTAATTTTGTATTATTTTTTTGAGACATAGTCTCACTCTTGTTGCCCAGGCTGGAGTGCAACAGCATGATCTTGGCTCATTGCAACCTGCGCCTCCCAGGTTCAAGCGATTCCCTTGCCTCAGGCTCTCAAGGAGCTGGGGTTTTACAGGCTCCCACCAAAACGCCAGGCTAATTTTGTATTTTTAGTAGAGATGGGGTTTCACCATGTTAACTAGGGTAGTCTCAAACTCCTGATCTCAGGTGATTCACCCACCTCAGCCTCCCAAAGTGCTGGGATTACAGGTGTGAGCCACCGCACCTGGCCTAATTTTGTATTTTTAGTAGAGACGGGGTTTCACCATATTGGTCAGGCCAGCCTCGAACTCCTGACCTGGGGTGATCTACCCACCTCGGCCTCCCAAAGTGCATGAGCCACAGCACCCAGCCTCAATAGTTGTACATATTTATGGAGTACAATATAATGTTTCGATACACATATATATTGTGCAATGATCGCATCAGGGTAATTAGCATGTCTATCACCTTAAACATTTATCATTTCTTTTTTTTTTTTTTTTTTTGCATGTCATCCTTGCGCAGGGGCCATGCTAATCTTCTCTGTATCGTTCCAATTTTAGTATATGTGCTGCTGAAGTGAGCACAACATTTATCATTTCTTATGATAACATGTTAAAATCCTCTCTTCTACCATCTTATTAGATGTTTTCTATTCATTCCATCTGGTCTTCTTTCTTTCCATCTTTGTCTGTCTTCCTTTGGATTGAGTGTGCATTATGTCTCTGTTTCTTTGCCACTATTGGCTTATCATTTACACCTCTTTAAAAATTTTTTAGTGATTAAAATGAGAAAAAAAATTTTAGGGACTGTCCTAGGTTTTACAACATATATCTTAATCAAAGTCTACCTTTAAATGATAAAATGTTACTTTAAATATAGCATAAGGGCCAGGGTACCGTGGCTCACACCTGTAATCCAGTATTTTGGGAGGCCGAGGCAGGCAGATCACCTGAGGTCAGGAGTTCGAGACCGGCTTAGCCAACATGGTGACACCTGTCTCTACTGAAAATACAAAGATTAGTCGGACATGGTGGCAGGTGCCTGTAGTCCCAGCTACTCAGGAGGCTGAGGCGGGAGAATCGCTTGAACCTGGGAGGTGGAGGTTGCAGTGAGTCAAGATCATGCCACTGCACTCCAGCCAGGGTGACAGAATGAGAATCCATCTCAAAAAACAAACAAAAAATATGAATATACTGTAGCATGAGAATCTGACAACAGTATGTTGCACACCATTCCTTCCCGTCTTTTGTAGAGCAGCAGTTCCCCCTTATCGGCAATTTCAGTTACCTGTGATCAGTACAGGCCCCAAAATATTAAGGCACTTTGAGTGAGAGAAAGACTACATTCATATGGCTTCTATCACAGCATACTGCTATAATTGTCTTATTGTATTAATTGTTATTGTTAATCTCTTACCTTGTCTAATTGATAAAGTTTATCATAGGTATGTAGGTGATATGGTTTGGCTGCATCCCCCCCAAATCTCATCTTGAATTGTAATAATCCCCAGCTGTCAAGGGTGGGAGCAGGTGGAGATAATTGAATCATGGGGGCAGTGTTCCCCGTGCTGTTCTCGTGGTAGTGATTAAGTCTCACGAGATCTGATGGTTTTATAAATGGGAGTTCCCCTACACAGTTTTGCCTGCCACCATGTAAGATTTGGCTTTGCTCCTCCTTTGCCTTCTACCATGATTGTGAGACCTCCTCAGCCATGCTGAACTGTGAGTCAATTAAAACTCCTTTCCTTTAGAAATTACCGAGTCTTGGGTATGTCTTTATCAGCAATATGAGAACAGACTAATACGGTTGGCATAGGAAAAAACAGCATATACAGTGTTTAGTACTATCTGCAGTTTCAGGCAGACACCACGGGTACTGGAATGTATCCCCTGCAGAGATTGTTGTAAATGCATATGTAAAAGTGGTGTATGACAACAATATATTTCACTTTTAATCTGCTATAAATATATAATACATACTACTAGTTTTGCTTTAAATTAGATATTGGCAAACTATAGCCTATGGACCAAATGTAGCCCGCCTCCTGTTTTTGTAAATAAGGTACGAGTAGAACATAGCATGCTCCACAGTTTATGTGTTGGCTAAGGCTGCTTTTGCACTGCAATTGCAGAATTAAGCAGTTGCCCTAAAGAGCGTATGACCACAAAACCTAAAATATTTACTATTTGATCCTTGACAGGAAAAAATTTCTCAATGTCTGTTTTAATAGTCATCTTTTCAAGCATTTAAAAGGCAACAGTTTTGTTTTGTTTTTTTAAGACAGAGTCTAGCTCAGTCGCCCAGGCTGGAGTGCAGTGGCGTGATCTTGGCTTACTGCCTCTGCCTCCCAGGTTCAAGCAATTCTCCTGCCTCAGCCTCCTGAGTAGCTAGGACTACAGGCACGTGCCTCCATGCTTAGCTAATTTTTTTTGTATTTTTAGTAGAGGTGGGCTTTCACCTCATGATCCACCCTCCTTGGCCTCCCAAAGTGCTGGGATTACAGGTGTGAGCCACCGCACCCACCCAAGGCAACGTTATTTTTTATGCTTACCTTTATTCCGTTTCCAGCACTTGTTATTTTTTAATGTATATCCAACTTTCTAGCTGGTATCCTACTGCTTTTACCTGAAGAACTTTCCTTAGCATTTTTTTTTTTTTTGTATTGATCCGCTGGCAATTCTCTTAGTTTTTGTTTAAGGTAATCTTTATCCCTTCTGTTTTTTTGAGATAAAATTTACATAACATAAAATTAAACATTAACAATTTTAAGATGTACAATGGCATTGAGGACATTTACAATGCTGTGCAGCCATCACCTCTATCTAGTTCCAAGACATTTCATCACCCCAAAAGAAAACCTCATCAGCAACCACTCCCAATTCCCCCTTCCCACATCCCCTGGTAACCACTCATCAACTGTCTGCCTCTATGGGTTTACCTGTTCTGGATGTTTCATATAGATGGAATCACATGTCATTTTGTGTCTGGCTTCATTGATTTAACACAGTGTTTTCAAGGTTCATCCACATTGCAGCAGGTATTTCATACCTTTTTGTAGCTGAATAATATTCCTTTGTATGGTCACATCACATTTTAGCTGTCTATCAGCTGTTTCCACCTTTTGGCTATTGTAAACAGTGCTGCATTGAATATCTGTGCGCAGGTATTTGTTTGAATTCCTGTTTCCCATTCTTTTGGTTTCACCTACAAGTGATATTTTTGGATCCTATGATAATTCTATGTTTAACTTTTTGAGGAATTGTCAAACTGATTACTATAGCAGCTGCACCATTTTTCACTTTCACCAACACTGTACAAAGGTTCCAATTTCTCCACACCCTCACCAGCACTTGTTATTCTACGATTTTTTAAATTATGACCAACCTAGTATATATGAAGTGGTATCTCATTGTGATTTTGATTTGCACTTCCCTAATGATTAATGATGTTGAATATTTTTTCATGTGCTCTGGAGAAATGTCTATTCAATTTGCCTATTTTTAAAAAAATTATTTTTAGATTTGGGAGTACATGTGTATGTTTATTACATGGGTACATTGGATAGTGGTGGGGATTTGGCTTCCAGTGTACCCAATACCCAAATACTGAACATCATACTCAACAGGTAATTTTCCACTTCCTTTCTGCTCCCTCCCATTCCCTTCTATCCTTCCCCCTTTGGAATATATTCTCTCCATCTTTATATCCATGTGGACCCTTTGTTTAGCTCCCATTTATAAGTAAAGACATGCGATACTTGAATTCGCCTATTTTTAAATTTGTTTGTCTTTTTGTTGTTGAATTGTAGGAAACACAACTTTCATTCTATATATTTGTTCTGGATATATTTATTCTGGATATAAATATTCTGTGTGTTTTTGTTCTCTTGACAGTGTCCTTTGATGCACAAAAATGTCTAATTTGGATTAAGTCCAATTTATCTATATTTCTTTGGTTGCTTGTGCTTTTAGGGACATAACTAAGAAATCATTTCCAATTCCAAGGTCATGAATATTACCTCTTTGGTTTCTTTTAAGGATTGAATAATTTTAGCTATTATATTTAGGTCTTTAATTCTCTTTGAGTTAATTTTTATATGTGGTGTAAAATAAGAGTTCACCTTCATTCTTCTGCAGGTAGATATCTAGTTCTTTTAGCACCTAAGTTGAAAAAACTGGTCATTCTCCATTGAATGGTGTCGTCACCCTTGTGGAATATCAGTTGTCCATAGATGTGAGAGTTTACTTCCTCTCAACTTTATTCTATTGATCCATATAGCTATTCTTATGTTGTTGCCACACTATTTTGATTTCTGTAGCTTTATAGTAGGTTTTGAAATTGGGAAGTGTGACTTCTCCATATTCTCCTTTCTCGAGACTGTTTTGCGTATTCAATGTCCCTTGAAGTTCCATATGAATTTGAGAGTCAGCTTTTCCATTTCTGCAGAAAAAGGCAGTTGGGATTTTGATAGGGATTATTTTGTACCTATAAATCACTTTGGGAGTTACCGCCATCTTATTAATTATTAAATCATCCGACTTATGAAAATGAGATAGTTTTTCATTTATTAAGGTCTTCTTAATTTCTTTCAAGAGTATTTTGTAGTTTTCACTGTAAAAGTCATGCATCTCCTTGGTTAAGTTTATTCCAAAGCATTTTATTATTTTTGATACTATTGCAGATTTAATTGTTTTCTTAATTTCCTTATTGGAGTATTGCCAGTATCATAGAGTTATGTTTGTTGATCTTGTATCCTGTGGCTTTGCTGAATTTGTATATTAGCCCTAACAGTTGCTTTCTGTGGATCTTTTAGGATTTTTCTATAGATAGGATCATGTCGGGCTGGGCGCGGTGGCTCACGCCTGTAATCCCAGCACTTTGGGAGGCCGAGGCGGGTGGATCACGAGGTCAAGAGATCGAGACCATCCTGGTCAACATGGTGAAACCCCGTCTCTACTAAAACTACAAAAAATTAGCTGGGCATGGTGGCACGTGCCTGTAATCCCAGCTACTCAGGAGGCTGAGGCAGGAGAATTGCCTGAACCCAGGAGGCGGAGGTTGCAGTGAGCCGAGATCGCGCCATTGCACTCCAGCCTGGGTAACAAGAGCGAAACTCCGTCTCAAAAAAAAAAAAAAAAAGATAGGATCATGTCATCTGTGAAGAGAGATAGTTTTACTTCTTCTTTTCTAATTTGGATGCCTTCTGTCTCTGTTTCTTCTTGATTGCTCTGGCTAGGACTTCCAGTTCTATGTTGAACAGAAATGGCGACAGCAGGAATCTCTGTCTTGTTCCTAAAGGAACCAGCTCTCTGTCCTTCACCCTTGAGCTAGTTGTCCTTTTTCACATGTGCCTTTAATCATGTTGAGGCTGTTCCTTTTTATTGCCAGTTTGTTGGGTGGGTTTGGTTTTGCTTTGTTTTTTTTATTTTTTTTTAATGTAGAAAAGCAATTTATTCCATTTTAAGCACGTACACAGTTAGTCATGGAGAGTAACAGGCCTGCTAGTGAAACAGGTCACCCAAAATGGAGATGGCATCAAATGGTGGTCAAGGATGAACGCCTGAAAAAATAAAGCAACTTTTATCAAGCATTTATTTAATTTTTAAAACAAACACAAGTTATTGATTCACTCTTCTCAACTTGACAGTCTACCTGTGCATAACTGTCAGGTAAAAACATACATCTTTACAACTTGGTGGTCCCAAGTTAAAGAAACAAAAACATCATTTCCCAGAAAGGAAAGAAACCATATGAAAACAGCTCAAGAAACACACTAATGAGCAAAAATATATGGGGAAAGAGGAATGTGTAGTTCTGACTTCACTGAAGAAACCAAGAGGAAACTGGTCTACGTATGAAAATCTGCATCCTGGAAAGTCAGGTATCAAGATTTTTGAGTAGGAATCTATATGACTGGAATCCCCCATATTTCCCGAATGAAAGTGAAATCTTCCAGCATTTATACTTCATGGCTCAGATACCTACCTCATTTGGCTCTATTCCTTATTCACTCTAGCCTTTACTTAAATGAGTCTGAAAAACTTGGGATAGAGCATAAGAAGAAAAGTAATCACACATTCCCCTTTCTGTAGCTCTTTTAGACCTGGGTTTGTTACTAGAACATTCCTGAAGAAAATGTCAATGTAAGTCTCTGGTTTTGCTGAATCAAGCCCTCCCACTAATATTTAGAAAACACTCGCTGTTTGGACTAAAAGCATTATTGGTGGCACCTGTTATATAGAGGGATAGCTGAACAAAGTCTGTGTCTCAAAATTTTGAGTGTTAATCTCAGGGTTGAGAAGAAAAGAAGGGGAGTCTAAAATCACAAGAAGTAAGGACATATCTAGGACCATTGTCCTTTTGGATCCACGCTTCCTTCAGGTTCTTCGTCTTTATAAATGTTCTCTGCCATTTGCCACACTTGCAGATATTGTCTTCTGATAAAGGACAAATCACCCAGGGTTCACTGGGATTCCAGGAGAAATCCGATATCTTGGCAATGTGACCACCATGAATGAAAAACAACTCTGGTGGCCTGTCTTCTGCATCTTCTAGGGATTGTTCCTCTCCGGTTTTACTCAAATCCCAGATATTCAGTCTGCAATGAGTACCACTGGAAGCCAAAATAGTCTCACTGTGAGGTGACTGCTGAACCTGGGATATTTCATCCTTATGTGATTCAAAGGAATGCAACTTAAGTTTCAGATTTCTCAGATCCCATAATGCAACTTAAGTTTCAGATTTCTCAGATCCCATAATGCAACTTAAGTTTCAGATTTCTCAGAGTCCATAAGGCAAGTCTTGTCAGCTGATCCTGTGGCAAGAATGAACTCACTGTAAGGATTGAAAGAGAGGCAGTTCACTTCAGCAACATAAGTGTCAACAGAGTGGCTTGGTTTGGAAGTATTGTTTGAACGAGTATCCCAAATCATAAGTGCCTGATCAGCAACTGACCCCAACAGAGACTCATGGAGCAGATGCCAGGAAACATCTTCTGCTACTGCTGTATGCCCTCTAAAGACGGTCTTCACATCCACCAAAAGTGCCTCCTTTGGGCGGCACTGATGTCCCACAGGCAGATGGTGTGGTCATCTGAAGCACTAAGCAAGTGCCCACTGAGGTTTGGGTTCCAAGAAAGCCCACAGCCTGCCTTCTGTTGTCCGCAGAGTCACAATTTAGGGTTGCACTCTCCAGGAAGGAACATCCCTGGAAGGAGTCTTTGGTGCAATGATACAAGGGTTCTGGGGCATACAATGGGCCCCGTTTACTTCTCCTTCATGGTTGATCTTGATTTCTATTTCAATTTTTCCACTAACTGAACCAAAACCTCCAAATTCTGTTTTTTCACGTCGTAGTGTGACGCATCAAACTGAGCATCATCATTAGGGAGTTGCACACTGGCTGTAACTAGATGGTTTTGTTCATCCGATGTGTGTGTCCCCAGGACAAGTCGATGAATGCCGAAATCTTTCCCTTCTGGTCTGGTTACATCTGGAGGCCACTGGGCAGTAGGCTGGGCCACTCCAGAACATGGGTCATCACCAAATCATAAAGAAATATGTGTTCTTTTTCTGTATTTTATACCCCTCGTTGATCACTCGTTCTTCCACTGCGTTGTTGAAGGCTGCTTCTTTGTTGGCCATGGCAGGCAGGCGAGCGGGAAGGGAGCAGGGGAATCCTGGAGTCGAGCATTGCAGGAGGGGTGGGAGGCTGCAGATCTGTTTTGGCTTTAATGAAAGCATGTTGGGTTTTACAGTTACATCGACTGACATGATTATATGAGGATTTTTTTCATTCTATTAATGTGATGTATTACATATGTTAAACCACCATTGTATTTCTGGGACAAATCCCGCTTCATCATGGTGTATAATCATTTTAATATGCTGTTAGATTTGGTTTGCTAGTGGATAGGTACAGTGGTTCACACCTGTAATCCTAACACTTTGGGAGGTCAAGGAGGGCAGATTGCTTGAGGTCAGGCATTTGGGACCAGCCTGGCCAACATGGTGAAACCCCATCTCTACCAAAAATACAAAAATTAGCTGGGCATGGTGGCACGTGCCTATAATCCCAGTTACACGGGAGGCTGAGGCATGAGAATCACTTGAAAGTGGGAGGCAGAGGTTGCAGTGAGCCAAGATTTCTCCACTACACTCCGGCCTGAGTGACTGTTTTTTTTTTTTTAAAAAAAAGATTGTTTCCTAGCATTTTGTTGAAAATTTTTGCATTTATATTCATTCATGCATTTATATTGGTCTGTAGATATGTTTTTTTGCAATGTCTTGGTCTGGCTTTGGTATCAGGAAAACACGTTGAAAAGGATTGGTATTAATTCTTCTTTAAATGTTTGGGAGAATTCACCAGTGAATCCATCTGGTCCTGGGTTTTGCTTAGTTGGGAGGTGTTTGATTACTGATTAAACCTCTTTCCTTGTTATAGGTTTATTTGGATTTTCTTTTTCTTCTTGAGTCAGCTTTGATTGTTATTCATGATTGCTAAAGGTTCAGAATGCTTTTCTAAAGAAGTATATCTATACACACATACACATTCATACATACAAATGCACACATACACACCAGACACACATACACACCTGAGTACATGGGAATGATCGTTTTCCTGGATCAATGTTATATCACAATTTTTCAATTTCAAGAAGTAACTTTAGGCGAGTATGGTGGCTAATGCCTATAATCCCAGTACTTTGGGAGGGCAAGGTATGCAGATAGCTTGAGCTCAGAAGTTCGAGACCACCCTGGACGGCATGGTGAAACCCCATCTCCACCAAAAATACGAAACTTCCAGGCATGGCGGTGCATGCCCCTGTAGTCCCAGCTACTCAGGAGGCCGAGGTAAGAGGATGGCTTGAGCCCAAGAGGTGGAGGTTGCAGTGAGCTGAGATCACACCACTGCACTCCACTTCTATCACACCACTGAGTGATAGAACCAAACCCTGTCTCAAAAGGAAAAAGAAAAAGAAAAATGACTATGTTCTTCAGAGATAAGAAGTAAAATAACAAGAGAATCAACTAAAAGAGGTGAAAGCAATTGCCTTCGGGAAAAGAGGGAGCAAAGGAATGCTATATTTTTTAAGAATTATGCAGAGCAATTAGATTCTTTATAAAAATAAACAATGTAAGTAACCCACGAAAGACAGTTTTACAACCCGACTGCTGGGATCCAAATCCTTTCTCCACCATTCTCCAGCTGTTTGAGCATGGACAAGCTCAAGGTGCTCCATCTCTCTGAGCTTTAGTTTTCCCATCTGTGAAATGGGAACGACAATAGTACTCACTTACATAGTTACGCAGGACTGAAGGAGACAGCGAAGGTAAAGGATTTGGCTAGTAAGTGTCCTGTAAATGGAAGCTTATTGCCAATATTACCAGACTCTCCCAGACCAACGTGTACATACGAAAAAAACAAACTCTGTTCGTCCTATAGTCTCACAACACAAAATACTCTGACACGAGATGTGGGGAATGGGGCATATTGCCCTGTAGATCAAGCAATCAACCAGTTGTTCAGATTCTGTCACAGATATGAATCTGGTGCCCTCCAATTCAATTAGAACACCGTTTACCTAGAGATAGCGTTAGCTCTCACAGGTTGAAGGCTGCCCAGGAGTTTGAGGCTGCAGTGAGCTATGATCAAGCCACTGCACTCCAGCCTGGGCAACAGAGTGAAACTCCATCTCTAAAATAATAATAATAAATTTTTAAAAGACATTTATTACTTTGGAGATTCCAAGGATTTTAAGAGTTGTAAGCCAGGAAATGGGGACAAAAACCATATATTTATTTATTTATTTATTTCACAGTATCACACAACCTATCTTCTCTTTGGGCTCTACCAGAGCCGCCTGATCACTCTGGAGACCCTCATTTGTGCTACTGACTGACTGTCTGGCTGCTCTTGGACGTCTCTCTTCTCTCGGGACCCCTTGCAGAAGGGCCCCAAACTTAGCTAGCTCCCTCCAGGCTCAGACTGGCCCTGCCCCAGACTCTGACTCCTCCCTCTTGGGGGTCAAGGCTTTTGTTTTCTTCTTAAAGACCCAAGATTTCCAAACTCTGTGGTTGCCTTGCCTAGCTAAAAGGGGAAGAAGAGGATCAGCCCAAGGAGGAGGAAGAGGAAAACAACACAAACAAGCAGTGTAGAGGAGAGGAACGTGTGTCCGGTGTCCCGATCCCTGCAGAGCTGGTGGCTGGGCGCTCTGTGCCCTGGGCACCTCCCAGCCCTGCACCTGCCTGCCACTTCCCCACCGAGGCCATGGGCCCAGGGGTTCTGCCGTTCCTGCTGGTGGCCACAGCTTGGCATGGTAAGAACAGAATGGGGTGTGGGGGACTTTGGTGGGGGTGCGACAGAAGGCTCCCCTATGAAGGGACTCAGCCCTTACCCCTCCCTGGGTGTCCCCAGGCTGTGTTTTCATCTCCCCAGCACTGGGCTGCAGGTTTGTGGTACCTGCTTTGGGGAGGTAGTGGGGGGAAAGGATGTGGATGGGGTGGAACTGACCTAGCTGGGGCTGTGGATCTGTCCCAGCTCCACCATCAACTCACTGCATGTCCTGAACAAGCCTCTGATGCTCTTGAGGCTTCAGTGTCCACTTCTATTCAATTGCAGGTTTTGGGGGCCGGGGGGCAGTGATAGACTGGACCAGAGCAGTGCTTTTCATACTTTTGGTGCATACAAGTTACCTGAGGATCTTGTGACAGTGCAGATTCAGACTCTGTCAGTCTCAGGTGCGACCTGAGATTCTGCACATCCAACAAACTCCCCGGAGATGGGAGATGCCAGCACTGCTGGTCTAGACCTATACTGAGTCAGGAGGACCTGGAGAGCCCCTGATGGCTCTGCCAGCTCTGCAAGCCTGATTCGATGATTCGATGCAAGACCTGACCTGGAAGGGCCTGACCTGGGTGGTGGTTCTTCCTTGGAAGTCTTGTGTAAGGGGTTGGAGGGAGAGACAAGAGGTTGGCCTCTCTGGCCCAGGGCTCAGGAGAGGGGAATTTGGGGTGAAAGGGATATAGGGCTAGAGGAGGGATTGGGAAGAGGCCAGTGAGAGTCTGCTTGGCCAGAGCCCTCCTAGACACAGGCTGAAAAGTCTCAGGAGGTCCCCAGACAGCAGCAGTTCTGCAGAATTTCCATCACATGGAACATGACTAGAGGTGAAGGGCTGCTGTGCTTGGCTTGTTAGCCCAACAAACATGTTTCTATTCTATTGCCTGCTTATTCAAAAGGACCTTGGGGGAGGATGGGGATTGAAGGAGAAAAAGGGCAGACTCACCCTGGCCTCTTCACGGGAGGATCCTTGGACCATGGTGCTTCTGGTACCCGATGAGGAGGAGATGGCCCACTCACCATGTTTCTGGCCCAGGCCATCTCACTGGGCTTGAGTGTTTGGAGTTGTGTTTTTGTTTTTGGTTTGAGATGAAGTCTCTGTTGCCCAGGCTGGAGTGCAATGGCGTGATCTCAGCTCACTGCAACCTCTGCTTCCCGGACTCAAGTGATCCTCCTGCTTCAGCCTCCCGCTGGGATTACAGGCACATGCCATCATGCCTGGCTGATTTTTGTATTTTTAGTAGAGACAAGGTTTCACCATGTTGGCCAGGCTGGTCTCGAGCTCCTGACCTCAGGTGATCCGCCTGCCTCGGTCTTCCAAGGTGCTGAGATTTCCGGCGTGAGCCACAGTGCCCAGCCTGGACTTTTTATTTTGAGATGCAACTTACATACATTAGAAAACACAGGTTCTTAAGTTCAGTGAGGTCTGACAAATGCACACACAGTGTACCCACCACCCCCATCAAGAGGGAGACTATTCTCCTCATCTCAGAGAGTCCCACGGGTTTGATTTTACTGCCTTGTCCTGTCCTCACACCTAAAACCTTCCTGTGGGGCTTAAACCAGAAAGCATCTGAGCCAGGTCTCAATCAAATAGTTTATTTTTTATTTATTGAGATGGAGTCTTGCTCTGTCACCCAGGCTGGAGTGCAGCGGCATGATCTTGGCTCACTGCAACCTCTGCCTCCTGGGTTCAAGCAATTCTCTCACCTCAGCCTCTTGAGTAGCTGGGATTACAGGTGCCCATCACCATGCCTGGCTAATTTTTTTTTTTTAATTTTTGGTAGAGATGGGGTTTCACCAGGTTGGCCAGGCTGGTCTTGACCTCCTGAACTCAAGCAATCTGTCCGGCTCTGCCTCCCACAGTGCTGGGATTGCAGGTGTGAGCCACTGTGCCTGGCTCAATCAATTTAGAAGTTTATTTTGCCAAAGTTAAGGACATGTTGGTGAGAAAAAAACATGGAGTCATCAAAGCAGTCTGTGGTCTGTGCCATCTGTGCCATTCTCCAAGGATGAATTCGAGGGCTTTAATATTTAAAAGGGAAAGTGGGCGGGAGGGAAAAGGGGAGAGTGTGGTAGTCCACATGTTGCAAAAGAAAAGGAGCGGGTAGGGGAGCGGTCAGTTATTTCGGCTCAGTACATTGGCCCTTTACCTAGGGAAGGTGAACATAGAGGAGCTGCCTGTGGGGTATTTTACTTTTTATCTGCTGCCGTCTGCTTAGGAACAAGAGGTAAGACAGCTTCTTGCATGACTCAGCTTTCAGCTTGATTTTTTCCTTTTGGCAAAATGAATGAGGGTCCCAAGTTTTTATTTTCCCTTCACAGGGGAATCGTGTGTGGGAGGGGGGCTGGAGGGGTGTCCAGGGCCCAGTCCCAAGAGAAAGAAGAGATGGCAAGGCTGGAAACCTAAGTTTTCAGCCCAGTAGACCAATGGTGAGGGGACGAGGGGCCACTGTGGGGGGACTGGGGATGGAATTGGAGGACCCTAGAGAGAGAGAGGGGCTCACTCTTCATCACTGCGATGAGATCCTGGGCTGAGGAGGGGCTGTGTCCAGCCGTGATGTGCTCTGTGTGTGTGTGTGTGTGTGTGTGTGTGTGTGTGTGTGTGTGTTGGGAGAGAAGAGACTGGGGCACATTTTGGAGGTGATGATGGAGGGGCTTCCAGGCAAGTGGGAGTTAGTTGGGGCATGGGAGAACTGGGGAGCGGAGATGAGAGGGGAAGAATGGACAGGTACAGAAAGGGACCTTGGTTAGTGTTTATAAGCCCACACCCCCACCCTGAGGAGGATGGGGGCCAAGCCAGCAGGGGAAGTTGGCTTTGGAAGTTGCAGGTATCAGCCCTATCATGCATGAATATCAGGGACAATAGGATAGGACCAAACAGGACAGAGGCCTCTCCCTGACCACATCTCCCAGCGACCAAGGCAGGGTATAGAGAGACAGGCCGGGGGAAGGGAAAGGAGAAGTCCACTGTGAGACGTGAGACAGGTGTAGAAAAGGAAAAATGGAACCACAGAATCCAAGGTTAAAATCTTGAGTTGGCCCAGACGGGACATTAGAAATGTAACAATTAAAGCAGGTGCCCAGGGCACATCATTTCACTCAACTTCCAGCCGACTTCTTTGTGGGGGGAGATGGGATTATTCCCATCAGACAGAAGAGTAGCCTGAGGCTCAAAGAGGTTAAGCAACTCAGCCAGCTGGTAAGGGAAGAACCAAGTTCCAAACCCAAGTTGGTGTGAGCCCACACTCCCAGCTGTTTCCTGCTATAAAACTCCAGCCTCAGGGCCCTAGGTTGCTGCAGCAGTGATAGGGAAGCCCCTGCACTGTTGAGATTTGCTAAAAGACTGCTAGAAATGACACTTGACCCTCTTGCTGGTGGTTGCACTGCATAGGAGGGCTATAACCCCAGGCAGGGCCTTGGCAGTATTTATAATTCACTCAATCCCTTCTGCTGATCAGAGTCTTGGGGAGAGGGGCTGTACATTCTGATGAATACAAAATCAAAGCATGAATTAAGCCATCCTGAGAGCATTTGAGAGAGGAAACCTTTCCAATCCTGGGCTCTATGGTTGCCGGGGGCGGGGGGTATTCCCATTTCAGGAGGATTTGCAGAGAACAAAGGAGAAACCCTGAATTCGCCCGAAGCCCTCAGAGCTGGCCTGTCATTATGCCCCCATCACCAGGAATAGGAAGGGTCAGCCAGTGGCTCAGCGTCAGAGCCAGGCCCTGCAGCTGCCCTGCGAGTGGCACTCCCTCTAGCTGCCTGGAGAGAGGGCAGTGGTAGGAGGCTGGGGAAGCAGAAGTGAGAACATCCCTGTAGAAGGGCCACAGGCTGAGCGGAAACCAGAGGCTGAGCCCGTCGCCAACAATATGTTCCCGCCCACGCAGGCTGGGGGGGTTGCCAGGCAGCCCCTCGGAGGCTTGAATCAGCTCTCACTTCCCTCCTTTGCCCCTAATTTTAGGCCCCAGAAAAATGCTGATGCTGCAGAGGCAACGGGCCTTCTTCCCAGACCGCCTGATGGGGGTTTCAAGTTCTCTTTTCTCCTTCAAGAAAATTTTCCTTAAAAGAGATTGGCTTCCCAGTAAACACAGATGTGTGGGGGTGCAGGGGTGAGCTGCTGGGTGCAGACTAGGTAATAAACATAGTCACTAACTCTTACTGAGCCATTCATTTGGTGTCAGGTGCTGTTCCAAAGGCTTCCCATGCCTTTAAAATGCCTAACATACCAATGAGTGGGTATAATTGTCCCCATTTTATAGGTGGGGAAACGATTGTCCCCATTTTATAGGTGGGGAAACTGAGGCACGGCACCTCCCATCCCACTGTGCTACAGACCAGATGTCCAGTGGTGGGAGTGGGCACACCCGGAGATTCTTGGGACCTCTTTAACTCTGCTGGGCTAAGATCCTATATATTTTTTTTCCCCATATGAATTAAACCAGAGGACTTGGCCATGAACATTCCATTCATTTGTTTCTTCATTCGGTGGTAGGGATACATCTACTTTGTACACAGGGTTAAAAGAGTCCATTCCTGGGGAGAAGAAAGATGCCATCACAGCAGGGGAGACTGAGGCAGGAGGCTGGGGACCCTGGGGACAGAGGCCTGGGTGAGAGGCTGAGCAAGCTGCAAGCCCCCTTTCTCAGAGGAGGGACCTCCTGGGCCTCAGAGACATCAGTCCATCCCTGAGCAGGTTGAGGATTGGGAGCTGAGCAAATGACCAGGGGGCAGGGGCTTGTTCAAGGCAATCCCTTGATGGCACAGCACCATTCCTGCCAGGCTACCACACGTCTTGGAATCAGGGACGGCCCAAGGGGAACACCACAGACCTCAATTTTGTCTTCTGTCCCTCCTTCTTACCAGGTCAGGGAATCCCAGTAATAGAGCCCAGTGGCCCTGAACTGGTTGTGAAGCCAGGAGCAACGGTGACCCTGCGATGTGCAGGTAATGGCAGCGTGGAATGGAATAGGACCCTATCACCTCACTGGACCCTGCACTCTGATGGCCTCAGCAGCATCCTCACCACCAACAACGCTACCTTCCAACACACGGGGACCTATCGCTGCACTGAGCCTGGAGACCCCCTGGGAGGCAGCGCCACCATCCACCTCTACGTCAAAGGTGAGGAATCTGAGCCTCCTCCCAAGAGGCCTGGCCCAGCAGGCCCCACTACAATGGGTCCTAAAATTAACAATCGTAACCATTCAGCTCTGCATTTACCGAGTGCTGGCTATGAGCATGGACCTGGAGCAGAGCTTCTAATGTAATGCAGCCCTCACAATAACCGTGCAAGGCGGGTCTATGATGATGCATTTTCTAGAAGTGCAGGGGGGTTATCCAAGGTCATGCAGCATCACGTAATGGGACTAGACTGGAGCCCAGGTGCATCTGACTCCGGAGCGCCCACGCTGAAGCATCCGCCGAACTATATCCTGGCAAGGTGTAACCTCAGATGAAACATCAGCCTCTCTCAGCTTCCCTGTCACCAATGTCCAGATACTCCTTGGCCCAGTGGAGGGAGGGCAGTTGTAACCCTGTGCCCGCCTCTACCCTAGACCCTGCCCGGGCCTGGAACGTGCTGGCACAGGAGGTGGTCGTGTTGGAGGACCAGGACGCACTGCTGCCCTGCCTGCTCACAGACCCGGCACTGGAGGCAGGCGTCTCGCTCGTGCGTTCCCGTGGCCGGCCCCTCATGCGCAACACCAACTACTCCTTCTCGCCCTGGCACGGCTTCACCATCCACAGGGCCAAGTACATTCAGAGCCAGTACTATGAATGCAGTGCCCTGATGGGTGGCAGGAAGGTGACGTCCATCAGCATCCGGCTGAAAGTGCAGAAAGGTGCGTGGGGCACAGAGGGACCGGGGGCCAGGCCTGGGGAGCAGGAACAGAGAGCCAGCAGCCACATGGGGGGTGGCTGGGGACTGGGCATGATGGGGGTTAGCGGATTGTCCTCACTTATTCCCTCTAATGGTTCCACGATCATCTATGGGGTGGGACTGACAAGGTGTCGGGGCAGGGAGACAAAGCACACGTGAGCAGATAACTCAGTGGGCAAGGTCACCTCCGATCATTAGACATGCTACACAAAAGCACTCAACAGGGTAGCCAAATAAAGAGCAGGTGGGGTGGGGGCCTCGCTGAGAAGGAGCTGAAATCTAATGACATAAAGGAGGTGGTTGTGCGAAGATCTGCTTCAGCAGGGGGACAGCGAGGGCCAGGTGGCGAGGGAGGGACCGGCCCTGAGTGTTCCTGGAGTGGAAAGAGGACTGAAGCTCAGCCTCAGACATGGACGTCCCCCTCGCGGCCTGCCTAAAGCCCGGTGCTGGGCGCGCGAAGGAGGGATGCTGAGCCGAGAGGCAGAGAAGAGGAGGAGGTGGTGGGCGCTTGCTGTGGCCAGGTGACAGTGGAGGTGGAGTCTCTCCCTGCTGGGATGCAGGCAGGATTCTGGTTTCTGGGAGGACTGGTAAGAGCAAGCAGGGCCCCAGGCTGAGGACCTGGGCTTGAGACAGCAATCGGTCCCTGTAATGAGGGCCAGGGTCAGAATGAAGCTGCTAGCCCAATTCCCCTGAATCTGAGGCCACTAAACCTGCTCAGGAGGTCAAAGGACCCCAGCTGTGTGGGCAGAGGAGGCCATTAGGGTTCTTTCCTAGCACTTGATCCTGCAGAGCCCTGGGCTGGCCAAAAGCCAGGAGTACTGGGCCCGAGCTCTGCCATGGCCCCCTCAGGGACCTTGGGTGAGTCCTTTCATGTCCCTGGGCCTTAAGAATCTGGATTAGATTATCTTCAAGAGCAGTAATGGGCATAAATGTCAATTCAAGGTCTACTGTGCGTCAGGTACTGTGCTGGTCACTGGAGTATTCCTGTCATGGATTGACATTCCACTAGAGAGTCTGACTATTAAATAGAAAGTAAATACAAATGTGATGAGTGAGAAACCGAGCTGGGGAGCGGAGGACATGGAGGTGCTGGGGAGGCTAATTCACATCAGCTGGTCACAGGCCTCGCTGAGGAATTTTTGAGCAAAAGATCTGAAGGATGAGAACAGCCTCCCATGCAAAGTGTGGGAGGAAATGTATTCCAGGAGGGAAAGGCAAGGGCAAAGGCCCTGCGGTGGGAAAGAGGTCCAGGGGGCTGCAGTGCAGCGAACAAGGGGTGGGGGTGTCAGCGCAATCGGAAACAGGGTGGGGTGGGGGAAGGACATTGGCTCATTTTCTGAGAGTAATGGGAAGCCCTGAATGTTTACATACATAGGAGAGAGGCGTGTTCCTATTTATATCTGTAAGAGGTCACTTTGGCTGCTGTGAAAAGGGCAGGCATGGGGGCTCAGAGGGAGGCAGGGAGGCCTCTGAGGAGGCTGGTGCAGAAATCCAGAATGGAGAATGGTGACGGGACTGGGGAGGGGGAGAGGATGGAGGAAGTGGACTTTCCAAGGTCTCTTTAGGATAAGTCTCCCAGGATTTGGGATGGGGCAGTGGTGGGGACCCTGGCCAGTGACCTGGCCCATGGCAGGGAGCAGAGCAACAGCACCATCATGTTCAGGGAGCCTGGGTATTCAGGGGTCTCTCTCCTGGTCTCAGTCATCCCAGGGCCGCCAGCCTTGACACTGGAGCCTGCAGAGCTGGTGCGGATTCGAGGGGAGGCTGCCCAGATTGTGTGCTCAGCCAGCAACGTTGACGTTGACTTTGATGTCTTCCTCCAACACAACAACACCAAGGTCAGTCCCTGGGGTCGGCAAGGTGAAGTCTGGCCATCCTCCCAGCACACCAGGTTTCCGGGCGGGGGGAGTCCTGGGCCTCCCATCCAAACTGGCTGTCTCAGCTGAAGGCACAGCTCAGACTCCAGAGAGGGGTGTGGACTCACCCAAGATCTCACTCCCAGTCAGTAGCTGACGCAGAACCAGGACTCAAGCTCGTGCTGCTGAACCTTGTTGGGGGGTTGGGGAGAGGAGGTGGTTCTCTGTCCCCTTGACACATGGCCTTTGCCCCAGCCTGTAGACAAAAGTCACAGGTGAGCTCACTTCTGATTTAGCAAGGGTTTCCTAGGCCACCTTTGAAGCCCAGGACTACAATGGCTATTTCAGAAAGATTCAGGGAGAGAGGGAGGAGTAGGAGGGAGGATTCCAGGAGGGAATCACACTGGGCTGCCTCTAAGAGGCCCTCCCTTCCTGCGCCTGCCGTGTTCCAGCCACAGCCCTAAGCAGCCACGTGCATGCATCTCTCCTTTGCTCCTCACTGTTAGTTCCATCTTACGAGTGAAGAAACAGGCCCAGAGGAAAGGCAGATAGGAATCCTTAAAGGCTGAGGATTGGAACCCAGATCTTTTTAATCCCTCAACTACCTTGGTATACTGCCTCCATTCCCTCTGGCTGCAGCTCACAATCCGTCAACGATCTGACTTTCATAACAACCGTTACCAAAAAGTCCTGACCCACAACCTCGATCAAGTGGACTTTCAACATGCCGGCAACTACTCCTGCGTGGCCCGCAATGTGCGGGGCAGCCGCTCCACCTCCATGTTCTTCTGGGTGGTAGGTAAGCATCAGGGTGGTGGCAGACGGTCGGTAGGGATCCTGCAGGAACGGGGACAGAAGGGGTTTCAGGAGGAAGCCAGTGTCAGGGAAGGAGACCTGCTAAGGACACCTCTGCTGGAGTTCCTTTATCCCAGGCCTGGCTAAGGAGCCGTGCTCCGGGGACTTTCCCTTACCCTTTCCTGGGACTCTCTCCCACTTTGGAGCTCTTACAGTGCATGGCTGCACCTTAGCACCATTTTTCACGTGTGTGTGTGTGTTTGGGGATTGAGGTCTAGCTCCCTACTGGACTTCCTTTGTTCAGTCTTTCATGCATTCCTTTATGAACACATGAAAAGACAGTGATCACCCAGTGATTATGAGGGAAGCACAAGGTGTCCTGGGAACACTGAGGGGTCCTCCAACCCAAGCCTGGAGAAGGTGGCCTCTAAACTAGGATGGGAAGAGGAAAGGTGGGTTAGCTGGGCAGCCGGGTGGAAAAGGAAGGGGAACAGTACTTCCGGCAGAGGGAGGAACATAGACAAGGCTCAAAGGCAGAGAGAGCATAGATCATTTGGAATACTGAAAGAACCTGACAGTAGCTGGGAGGTGGAATGGTGTGAGGAGTGGCCACAGGGGAGCAGAGAAAGAGGCAGAAGCAGAGGTCGGAGGTAAAGGTGTCTTAAGTTGAGTGAGGAACTGCATCTTAACCTGTTGGGAGATCATTGTAAAAAAGGAGAGTGATGGGCTCAGATTGCACAGAGGAGGCGCTGTGTGGTGGCCATGAGCACATACTCCCAGGCAGCGTTCCAGCCGGGCTCTGCCAAGGACTAAGCAGGTTGCTAACCTCCCTGTGTCTCAGTTTTTCTACCTGTAAAATGAAGATATTAACAGTAACTGCCTTCATGTATGTATGTATGTATGTATGTATGTATATATGGATGGATGGATGGATGGACGGATGATAGAGATGGATGGATGGGAGGATGGATGGATGGAAGAATGGATGGATGGATAAATGGATGGATATAGATGGATAGATGATAAAGATGGATAGATACATACATACATATATACATAAGTACTTAGAACAGGGTGTGACACAGATGAGGTGCTGTCCAAGTGTGCACTAGGAGGCAGCATCTGAGAAGGCTCAGCCTGGCACCGTGGGGGTTGGGTGGGAGTCTGGAGGCTGGAGAATAGGCTGGAGATGGCCAGTGGCAGGTAGAAGAGTCTGAGACGCAGGGATGAAGAAGAGAAGGGAGCGAAGGATGACCTCCAGGTCTCTGGCGATGGTGATTGGGTACAGGCTGTAGCAGTCTCAGACTCGGACCCTGAGGCAAGGCGGGAGTGCATCAGAGTGGGAGCGGGCTCTGAGTCATTTAGGTCTGGCCAGGCCTCAGGTGCTGAATGTTATGGGAGACGGAGGTGGGGGGATGAGAATCATGAGCATCACTGCCCCTAAAAGTGCGTGGCAGGCACTAGACTTGCCACAGAGTGTGAGCTCTGCTGCAGACCCCATTCTGCCCTGGGGGCTTTGGCAGGGTCAAGGGGAAGAAGAACAAAAGTACCTAGAGTTGTCCCTCAGTTACAGCTTCTAATCCTGTCTGCTTTCTAGTACAGGCATACAGCAGTCACTTAATACATGTTTATGTGCATTCACACTTTGAGCCAGACATCGTGCTAGATGCCGAGGATACAGCTGCAAATGGAACAGATACAACCCCTGACCTCATGAAGTCTGTGTTCTGGGAGTAGGCACGCAATAAGCCAAGTGAATTATTAAAACAAATTATGTAGCATTCGCAGCTTCAGAATAGCGTGGTCACCGAGGAAGTTCTCACTGGAAAGCTGATATTTGAGCAAAGACTTAAATTGCTGGAGGAGAAGGGAGCTCCATCCTGCGGCCGGGCTGTGCTTGTTCAGGAGGCAAGTTGACCAGTGTGGCTGAGGGGTGACAGCAAGAAAAAGAGTGGTCTCAGACCAGGTCAGAGAGCTAAAGAGGGGAGGTGGCAGATCCCACAGGGCCTTGGAGGCCACTGTAAAAACTTGGGCCTTTTCTCCTGAGAGAAATGGGGAGCTGTGGGAGGGTTTGAGCAGATGAGTGACATGGTGGGATTGGATGTAATACGAATTAACAGAGCTTTCTTGGGCTTTGTTGAGTACTGTCTTAGGGAGACAAGGATGGAAGCAGGAAGGTGAAGGAGGAGGCTGCCGCAGTGGTCCAGGCTGGAGCTGGTGGTGGATGGACTAGAGTGGTAATGGTGAAGGTGGCGGGAAGTTGTTGGGGTTTGGAAGGTTGAATGGACGAATGGATGAATAATAGACAGATGAATTGTTGGGAGAGCCAGAGCAAGAAGGAAAGAGCCTTGCCCCTGGAAACTCACAGACAAGTTGGAGAGAGAAGAAAGCTACCTTGTGGGAGAACCAGATGCATGAAGCAGTACAGATGTGGTGCCTAATGAGTGTGTAGTCTGGAAGGGCAACAAAAGTCCAGAGGAGTGAGAGGTTGCTGTGTCCCGGAGCAGTGAGAAGGACTCCCTCCTGGGGGTGAGTCTTAAAGGATAAAAAGGCCTCTATGAGAAAAAAGAGGAGGAGGATGGAATTCCTGGTGGAGGAAATGGCTTGAGCGAAACCTCCGAGGTTGGAATGACTATGATGTGTTCAGGGATGTTAGGAGACCCAGGTGGGTGGAGCGTAGAGAGTGTGAGAGTGTGTGGGGGGGGTGGGGGGGGAGGAAGAGGAGAGGTGACTGGATGAGCATAGTGAGACCTGATTTGACTGAAGAGAGCCTTGAATGCCAAGCTGAATAATGGAGGCAATGGAAAGCCATGGGGGTCTTTGGAGTAGACATATGTCAGGGCAGAAGGGTGAATTTCAGATTTTTAGACAGAATAAATTAAGGAGAAGAGCTCTTAGAAATCATCTAGTTCAGGGCTTGTTGCTGAGCCCTGAGGTTTTAAGAAGGTATGTCAAGGGCTACCATGACAGGCAGAGAGAGGCTGAGTGAACTGAGGTTCTTGCCATAATTCCTTTGCCTGAGATTCAACAAGAGCAGCTGGATTTCAATCTGTGCAAAATTTCATTAGGAGAAACTAGGCAGGACTCTTTCAGATACAAGTAACAGACACTAACTCAAACTGACCTAATTAAAAGAGGATTTTTTTTTTTTTTTTTTGCCTTATAGCTAAAAAGCTCATGGACATCAGCATCAGGAACAGTTGGATCCAGGTGTTCAGCTGATGCTGGAAAGAATCTATGGCTCCCCAACTGTCAGTTCTGCTTTTTCTTTTTGAGCCTAGTCTGCAGGAAGGCTTTCCCCTTGTAGCAGTCTGACTACCCACCTTGTAATATCTGACGTAGCGACCCCAATGAAATGAGGGCTCCTCTTTCCCAGAGCCCTAACAAAAATCATGGAATGGAGTGTTATAGACTCATGGTAACCCAAACCAATTACTGGGCCAGAGAGAACAGAGTACCCTCATTGGCTGGCCTGGGTTACATGCCTACTCCAGAGCTATATATAGAAGCCGTATTGACTGACTTATGACCAGTAAAGGGGAAATGGATGATGGCATATGAAGAGTGTGTGTGTGTGTGTATTTTTTCTTGCTGCCAAAAAGTTTTCAAAAAGTTGGAAAATCACAGATATATTCAATCTCTTCATTACACAAATAAGGAGACAGAGGCACAAATGGGGATAGGAATTTGCCCAGGTTCTCCTAGGGTCTCAGTGAGGAAAGTTTTGGTCCAGGGATTCTGAAGGGGGTGGTAAGAAGAGGGGTGTCAGAGAGTCTTGGGTGGTGGTGGGGACTGTGTACCTGTGACATAGCTGCTCAGGGACTGGATCCATTGGTGGATGACAAAACGGACAAATAAACCAGGACATCTCCCCACTAATGCCAGATGCTTGTCTTTCTGCTTTCTAGAGAGTGCCTACTTGAACCTGAGCTCTGAGCAGAACCTCATCCAGGAGGTGACCGTGGGTGAGGGGCTCGACCTCAAAGTCATGGTGGAGGCCTACCCAGGCCTGCAAGGTTTTAACTGGACCTACCTGGGACCCTTTTCTGACCACCAGCCTGAGCCCAAGCTTGCTAATGTCACCACCAACAGCACATACAGGTACCACCTGTCAGCTCCCATCTGCACAGCCCTACAGCCTGGGGGATGCTTCAGCAAGAATCAGGACACTTGGCTCATGTCCCAACCTTGCTGTATGACCTTGAGCAAGTCCCAGTCCCTTTCTGGGTTTCACTTTCCCTGACTTCATGGAATCCCAATATTAGTCATGTGTGTTTGAGATTTGGATGAAATTGGCTTACCCCTCCATCCTACGTCTTTGTGATAGTCAAGGCTCCACTCAAGAATTCTACCATTTCTTGGAAGTGTGCATTCTCATGGTCCCTCAAGAACTCTGTCTCATTAATTTTCCTCTCTTGGGGCCAATCTAAATGCAGAAAACAACCCCACTCATAGACACACTCCTGATAATGACTGCACAAGTTATCTAGCACATACAAAGGCTTGGAGGGAGGGGAAGAGGGAATTAACATCACACAATTGCAGATACATGAAATGTTCTGTAAAGGATTGCGGTCACCCAGTCCCAAGGATTTCTCACTGGCTGATCGTCTCTGTAAGCTCAAACTCTTCCCATGAAGTGCAATTTATAATAACTCCACACCTCCTCTGCTTCCATCTCTCCACTACCGTGATCCTCTGTATTCCACATGCACATTTTAGAAATTTTTCCAGTCCCCTGATGAACTGTGTTCTTGGGGTCTTTCCCATCCAAAGTGGCTTAAGCAGCTATATTCTAAGCAAGAAAGCTTTGTCCCTGAGAGGAACAGTCACACCAGGTATACCAGGTATTAAAATAATCGTTTCTTTCTTTTCTTTTCTTCTTTTTTTTTTTTTTTTTTGAGACGAAGTTTTGCTCTTGTTGCCCAGGGTGAGTGCAATGGTGCGATCTCGGCTCACTGCAACCTCTGCCTCCTGGGTTCGTCTCAGCCTCCCAAGTAGCTGGGATTAAAGACACCCACCACCATACCCAGCTAATTTTTTTTTTTTTTAAGTAGAGATGGGGTCTCACCATGTTGGTCAGGCTGGTCTTAAACTACTGACCTCAGGTGATCCACCAGCCTTGGCTTTCCAAAGCGCTGGGATTACAGACCCGAGCACTGCGCCTGGCCTAAAATAGTCTATTCTTACCCCGCCCTCTCAGAATGAGACAGTACAGCCTGATCAAGGGCAGCAGAAACATGGCGTGCCTGCCACACACACTCATCCATTTTTCTGCCGCTCTCCTGCAGAGTCTAGATGTGGCCTCAGAGTTCTCCTCAACACAGGCCCCAGGCAGTACTTCCGGCATAGCTGGCTCGTGAGATAATCTGTTTGTCATCCCTGTGTTGACCCCTTAGACAACTCCAAAACTCTTTGGGATTCTCATTCTAGCTCTAGAAGCCCAAACCTCATTGATTTCCAGAATCCTGCCTGTCAATTGTCAGAAGCAACAAGGATGTTTTCTTGTCCTCATCTTCCTCCTCTCAGTTCACTTCTGGTCCTTTCTGGCCAGGATCTCTGTCTTCCTCTCATTGAAAGCCAAATTTCTGAATCTGGAATCTGTAGGCCCTTTGGAGGGGGCTGGTCCATGGATGTGTTTCCGGGGTCCATACGCCACAGAGACATTGAGTAAAGGAACATGAGATCCATCCCCTAAAACAGTAGTCTGGGCACATTCAGCACAAGGCAGACAAGCCCAGACACCAAACAGCTACAGAATTTTAGTTCATGTGATGGGTATGTTCATAATGGTGACTTTCAATCATCCAAAAAAGTCACAATCTTTTTAGTTAAAGGGGTGGAAGTTATCTTAAGAAGTGACATGGGCAGAGGGCTTCTCTCTGCCAGGGTCTGGCGGGATGAGACTGCTCTTTGAATACCATGGATTTTAGTCTAGTAACAGTTGCAGGCATTTCCCAAGCAAGAACTGGTAATCTAGGCCGGGCGCGGTGGCTCAAGCCTGTAATCCCAGCACTTTGGGAGGCCGAGGCGGGTGGATCACGAGGTCAAGAGATCGAGACCATCCTGGTCAACATGGTGAAACCCCGTCTCTACCAAAAAAAAATACAAAACATTAGCTGGGCATGGTGGTGCGTGCCTGTAATCCCAGCTACTCAGGAGGCTGAGGCAGGAGAATTGCCTGAACCCAGGAGGCGGAGGTTGCGGTGAGCCGAGATCGCGCCATTGCACTCCAGCCTGGGTAACAAGAGCGAAACTCTGTCTCAAAAAAAAAAAAAAAAAAGAGCTGGTAATCTGCTATCATTTTAAAAATTTTATTTATTTTGACAGTGAACTGGGGGACTTTTAAAAAAACGTATTTATTACCTAAACAACACATGCTGATTATGGACAAATTGCAAAACAGAGATTAAAGGAAAAATAAAAAATTTCCCAGAATCGGCCAAGGATAACTTTTGTTGTTGGCATTCGCTCCTGGGCATTTTCTGTAACGAAGAGCACCATTAAATTGAGTGCCCACAATGAGTCAGATTCTGTGTCAAGCACCCAAATACATGTCCCTTTAATCCTAGGCCAAGTCTGTGACTTAGTAACCATCAGTATCACTCTCACAGCTAAGGAAGTGCGGGATCCAGAGAGGTTAAGTACTTGTCTGAGGTCACACAGCCAAGACACAGCAGTACCACGACTGGAACCCCGATCTCTGCAGCAACACAGCTGAGAACCCAGGGCCCTGCATCCTGCCTCTTACCTCTTTCTCTGTCCCCCTTGGCAAGGTTGGCACTTCAGGGATTTTCAGTAGGGAGTGCAGCTTTTGTGAAAGATGAGTGATGGCCGTCAAAGTAGGAGACCTGCGACAGGGCTCGCAGAACCTTAAAGACGTCACCTCTATTAAACCTCAGGAAAAAAAACACTTTCATATAAGAAAACCAAGAAAGGAAATAGGATTGGTGATTTTTGCATATCTCAGTGGCACCCTGCCTGAGGACCTGGCTGAGCCAAGGTCATGGGGCCCTGGATATTTTACCAAAAATAAACCCATTTAAGGCAGTTGTCTGACTGTGCAATCCTGACAGGGGCCATACCAGGCTGGGGCTCACCAAGACTGCCCGCTTCTCTTCTGCAGGCACACCTTCACCCTCTCTCTGCCTCGCCTGAAGCCCTCTGAGGCTGGCCGCTACTCCTTCCTGGCCAGAAACCCGGGAGGCTGGAGAGCGCTGACGTTTGAGCTCACCCTTCGATGTAAGTGCTGGGGCGGAGCACGGCCTGGGCTGGAGGCCTGGGACTGCCTGGAGGCACTGGGAGTTTGGGGGCTCAGAGGGAGAGTGTGACTTGGGGACTCCTCCTTTCCTCCTCAGACCCCCCAGAGGTAAGCGTCACATGGACCTTCATCAATGGCTCTGGCACCCTTTTGTGTGGCGCCTCTGGGTACCCCCAGCCCAACGTGACATGGTTGCAGTGCAGTGGCCACACTGATAGGCAAGTGGCTCCACTCATCTCCCTCTCCTGGGCTCAGGGGCTGGGTACCCCCGTGAGTGGGAGGGACAGGCTGGTGCTGGGAACTCTGAAGCTCTGAGCCACAGTCTGCTCTTCCCAGGTGTGACGAGGCCCAAGTGCTGCAGGTCTGGGATGACCCACACCCTGAGGTCCTGAGCCAGGAGCCCTTCCACAAGGTGACCGTGCAGAGCCTGCTCACCGTTGGGGCCTTAGAGCACAACCGGACCTATGAGTGCAGGGCCCACAACAGCGTGGGGAGTGGCTCCTGGACCTTCATACCCATCACTGCAGGTGAGTGGGAGCTCTGCACACCACCCCTGCTCCTGTAGGTGGAGACTGGAGGCGGTCCTGGAAACTGGCCCACCACCCTGCTGAGGGAGCCGAGGTCAGATCCCAGCAATACCAAGGAGCACCTCTCTGGGCCAGTCCAAGTCCCTCCCGCCCATCAGGTCTCCCAAAGCAGTAAGACTGGGTGGTCTGAAAGAAAGCCTGGAGCAACCGGCCCCCACTCTTATCCCTGCACTCTAACTCATGCATTGTTCACAAGTATGTGCAGGCATTATGTACCATGTGCTGGCACGTGCCCGATGCAGGGAAGCAGTGCCCCTACAGAGCTTAGAGTCTGATAAGGGAGGGAGGCAGGCAATGAGCAAGGAAGCGAGGTCCATCCCCAGCTCAGGGCCAGCTCCCGCCCGTCTTCTCCATGTCTCCCCGGTTGACTACCCTCCTGCTCCAGATACAGTCTGTCCATCTGGGGTTGCTGGGCAAGAGGCTGCCCCGGGGAATGACGGTCACCCTGTGCACAGCACAGGCTGCCGCTCTGTTTTACACAAAGGCTCCTTACCAGCTGGTCTTGTGATTCTCAGAGGCCTACAGCATCCTCAGCTTTTGACCACCAGGCTGCAGCACCCACTGTGTGTCAGATCCTGGCCTCTGCCTGGCTCAGAGGTGGTCACTCGTGTCCCCAGCTGCTGGCCTTGTAGCAACTGCTCCCAGGGTCCAACTGCGTGCAGTGCCTGTGGCCACTCTGGGTCTCACTGCTGGAGGTTGTATATTGTAATAAAGCCAACATTTTGTTGAAGGCTTCTGCTGTGCCAGGCACTGTGTTAAGCTCTTTACAGGGATTATCTTGATTAACTCCTACAAACCTAGAAAATAACTATAATTTTCCCTAAGCTCAATGTCACACACCTCCTAAAAAGTCCCTCCAAAACACAGTGGACCCTGGTAGCAGTTGCTCCAAGGCCAGCAGCTGGGGACACGAGTGACCACCTCTGAGCCAGGCAGAGGCCAGGATCTGACACACAGTGGGTGCTGCAGCCTGGTAGTCAAAAGCTGAGGATGCTGTAGGCCTCTGAGAATCACAGGACCAGCTGGTAAGGAGCCTTTGTGTAAAACAGAGCATTAGGCTGTGCTGTGCACAGGGCCGGGCGTCATTCCCTAGGGCATGGTCGCAGAGATGAAATTTGCAGACCAAAGTTATTGATCTGAGCAAGGAAGTAGAAATTACGTCCTCCAAAACACATCATGAGAACTGGGATTATAGACCCAGGGAAGAGGAGACCCAGGGGCCATGGGCCTGGCCTGCAGACCCTCAGAAGGGCTGTGTGATTCCAAAGGGCACGTGGAGGAGCTGCAGGGGAAATGCAGGCGAGGGAGGCTGCAGGGTGACCTCCAGCAGGTCTTTCTGACCGAGCTTCCTGGAAGTGCAGTGCACACTCATCGCCTCCCATCACTGGGGGTGTGCGTGTAAGCAACGGCCGGGCACCAGGCCAGGCTGCCGCAGAGAGATTTCTTGCACTAGCAGAGGGCGAGACCACATGACCCCAGAGGCCCCGACCCCAGCCACAGGAGGCTGTGACTGTGGACAGGTTTGGGGCTGGGCGTGAGCAGAGCTGGAGAGGCTGTCCTCTCGGCCTGCCTCCCTCTGCGGGAGGGTCTGCGGGAGAGGCCCCGGAGGCTTCCAGTGGGGGATGCTTCATTCAGTCAACAAGCATTATTGATCACGCACTGTGTTCGGGGCCATGTGCAGGCCTTATCTCAGTTGGGGAGGAGGCTTGAAGGTGCCCCTGCCTGCTCACTCCTTTGCTTCGTGCCTTCCAGGAGCCCACATGCTTCCCCCAGATGAGCTCCTCTTCACACCGGTGGTGGTCGCCTGCATGTCCCTCATGGCCTTGCTGCTGCTGCTGCTCCTGCTGCTATTGTACAAGTACAAGCAGGTGAGCCGGAGCGGAGCGGGGCGGGGCGGCCAGGCACCTGAGCGAGCCAGACAGGGACGGTACCCCCAGGCCACAAGGACTCACCCTCCTCCTCAGTCAGTCAGCCTGCTAACAGCTCTTTAGTGGGTGCCTGCTGTATACCAACATGAGCCGGCTGCTGGGTGGCCTCTGAGGCTCTGCCCTCATAGGGCTTACTATCAAGTGTGAGAGATGGATGCTAATCAGATAGCCATGAAAGCAAAGGCACACCTGTAATACCAGCCACTCAGGAGGCCAAGGCAGGAGGATTGCTTGAGGCCAGGAGTTAGAGACCAGCCTGTGTGATACAGCCAGGCCCCAGCTCAAAAACCCAAACAAAAAAACAGCCATGAAAGCAAGGGTACGGGTTATAGAGAACGGCATTCCGGGGCAGCGTGGACCTGACCAGGGGGTCTCCGCCCAGGGGGTCCCGGCACCCAGCAGGGGGCAGAGGAGATGGGCACACAGGGGTGGTGTCCCCAGGGCTAGGCCTGAGCCCTGCCTCAGTAGCACGTGGCCTAGTGAGGACAAGGACCTGTGACCATCACCATCCTCTTCATCATTCATGTTACTGTCCTGTGAGTCAAAGCCGCCATTTAGTACGTGTTGCACGTTAAGCACGCGTCCTGTCACTGCACGCCGAGTACGTGATAGTGATTTGAGGGGCGTTTTTCTGTAGCATGTCACCTACATCATCTCATTTAATGTCCTCAGCAACCATTATATGTAGCTAGTATTATTAGCCCATTTTACAGAGTTGTGAACTGAGGTTCTGAGAGGCTGGGACAGTTGCTCTTATCAACAGCTGGTCAAAGGCAGAGTCTGGTTTTTAACCCTGAGGGGGGACTCACTCTGAAGCATGTCCCAATCATTTGGTGAAATGCTGATTCATCTTATTTTACCCTCACAAGAAGCTGGAGGCAGGGAATACGTTTTTATTTTACCCATCAGGAAACTGAGGCTCAGCAAGGTTAAAAAACCCCCCAGGCGGCCGAGGGATATGGTTGGCACTGGGCCCCAGGGGCTTCTGTCCCCAGAGCCCAAGGCCTCCACCACCTGCCTGCCCACACAAAGACCATGTGCGATGTGATCAGAAGCTGACAGGACCAGGCCGGAGGACTGTGGGAGGTCAGAGGTGGAAGGACTTTTCAGGCTGGTGCATAAGGGAGACTGCCTGGAGGAGGTGGCCTGGCATTTGTGGGACAGGCCTTGGAGGACGGGGGATGTAGCAGGGGAGATGAGATTCAGGGAAAGGGTATCTCTGGGGAGTGTGCAGAGGGGAAGGCGAGGGGAAGACCAGGGTGAGGCTGGGGGTCTGAAGGGTTGGACCCCATCCTGTAGGTCCAAGGTTGTCCATGGGTTTGAACAAGGGAGTGGTGTGATCAAGGGCTGAGATCCATCTTGTGTCCCCTTGGCTGCCTGCCTCCTCTTCCCCACAGCCCCTTGGGGCTTTTGTGAGAAGAGGGTTTGAAGTGGGGAGGGTGGAAGGGATGTTGGGGAGCCCCAGGAGCACATGGATTGGGCTCTCTGCTCCTGCCAGCACCCAGCATGAGAAGGCTGCTCTGAGGGCAGCCCTGGTCAAGGCCGCAGGATCTAGGTCCAGCTCTGACACTGTTTTGCCATGTAACCTCAGCTGACTCGCTGTCCTCGCTGGGCCTCAGTTTCCCCTCTGATACCATGGGTCTGAGGACTCTTTAACAGCCCCTCCTCCTCTGACATGCCAAGAGCCTCCTGATGGTCTAGTTAAGAGCCAGAGGCTTGGACTTCAGTGAATCTGTCCAAATCCTACGTCTGTGGCTACGGGATGATGGGAAAGTTGTCGTCTCTAAGTCTCTTCTCCATTTGTAAAATGGGATTGTTAACAGGCGGTTGTGAGTATTCCGTGCCACAGTGCACACAGACGACTCACCAGGGTGCTGGAGGCAGACAGTTTCCGTGATGGGAGCTGCATGCTCTTGTCCCAGGAGGAAGTTGGCTGGGGAACCAGAGTTAGCTCATGCATCTTGGGATGGCAGAAGGAGGGGGAGGCCTGAGGTTGGGCATCATCTCCTTGACTACGCGCCCACAGCAGTTGTTTGGCCCAGCCCACCCACCTCCAGGGAAAGGACCTTACTCACTCTCGTGGCCACCCGTGCCTTCTCTGAGCAGCTCCAATTTTTGCAATGTTCTTCCCTACATGGAACTGAAAACTGCCTCATGGCCCCTGGGTCTCCTCTTCCCTGGATCTATAATCACAGCTCTTATGATGTGTTTTGGAGGACATAATTTCCACTTCCTTGCTCAGATCAATAACTTCGGTCTGCAAATTTCACCTCTGTGACAGTGAAATTTGTCGCAGAGCTGCCAGGACAGCTGTGCAGAGATTCCAGAGAAGGGCCTAGGGCCCCCTGCAGCCCTTTCTGCCTTGGGCTGACCAGCCCCTTTGGCTGTGTCTTGGAACACTGTGCCCCCTCTCCACAGGACCATTTTTGGAACACGTACTCCCAGTCACTTCTATGCTTCTTGTCCAGGAAATTCAGCTGTCCCCCGAGCCCATGCAAGGCCGTGAGAAGAAGACTTGTAGCCTCAGTTACCCTCCTCTTATATACCCATTCGCAGACCCTTTAGCTCTAGGCTGAGGTGTCCACCCCTGGGACTAGACTTTGAGGGGTCAAGGTGGTCATGCCCCTGCCTCAGCGCCTGCCCTCCCTTCCTCCTCTGCCTTACCCCATGGGGTTCGCAGCCTTGCCCTTTCACCAGGGACTCAGCCTGGCCTCTCCTCATTGCCCAGGCCTGGGGAAAGAAGTGGCTTGTCTGTGGGGAGGGTTTGTTCTGCCTCGGGGCTGAGTCATCACCTTTCTGTCCTCCAGAGTGACCACAAAGAGGGCTGAGGGGGAAGAGAAAAGGGCAGGAGTCAGCAGGCTCCCCTGGAGAAGGAGGCGCACAAAGGAATGGATGAGGCGGTGCGGAAGGGAGGGAACGGAGGCCACTGGAGAGATGGCAATTCTGGGTGCTGGAACTGAGCTCTGAGGAGGAGCAGGAGGGTCTCCAAAGATTCTATTGGGAAGTGTTCAGATCTCCACCTTCCTGGGACAGAGAGCATCCGTTCACCCAGAACCAGCAGGCCTAGACTGGGGTTTGGGGTGGGACTTGGATGTCTCCATGCCCCCTTTGGTGGGGAGGGGGAGGATGGACGGAAGGGAGGAAGTCCGGGTGGGCCTGGGGCTTAGGCCCATTGCGAGGAATCAATGGGGTGACGCGCTTTGATCGTCTAGCCCAGCGCCCCGCTCCCAGGAAGAGCTCAGGAAGAACTCACAGCTATCATGACAACTACCTCCACACTTCTCAGGAAGCCTGGCCCATCCCTACCTGTTGACCTCTCACTCATGGCTTTTCCTCAGAGGACAGGCCGCCTCGGGGTAAACATCCATGACCCTTGTCCAGGAACGGCACGGGTGCCTTGGGAGGTTTACAGGCCCAGCAGGGGCACGGGAGGGTTCCTGAGGCCGGCGGAAGGCACCTTGGTCCACTTCCAGGAATAGGAGCCTAGGATTCAGAGATCTGAGAATCCAAGCAAACCTCTTCCTCGTCGATCCCCTCCCTTTCAGCAGTGCTCCCTGCCCAGCTGGGGGCAGGGAGGGGGCTGACTCAGCCCAGCTGCGGAGGGACAGAGGAAGGAGAAATGGTGAGAAGGAAAAACGGTCTTGGCCATAGAGGCTCCTAGAGATGGAAGTAGCTGGGAGAGGTCAAAGACTCCCCTCCTCGCCCTGCTGCTGTCTTTTGGGCTGGGAAAGCACCCACGGGCAGGATTTGGATCCTCAGAGGCTCGGAGCGTTCTCTCCATGTCACATTTCAGACTCTCCCCCAAGCTCTAGCACACGCTGAAGTTCACCTGTAGTCCACCTCCTGAATCAGATCCCGGAAGTGAGTCCCTCCTGATTTCTAATTGCAGTCTTTTCTCCCTAACTACCAGCCAGAAGTTCTTCGTGATGGTTAGCTGGAATCTTCCTCCCTGTCTCTCTAAGAATGTCAATGTTTTAGTTTTGATTCGGGGGTAGATGTGCAGGTTTGTTGCGTGGGTATGCTTCGTGACGCTGAGCTCTGGGATGTGGATCCCGTCACCCAGTACTGAGCATAGCACCCACAGTTTGTCAACCCTCATCCCCTCCCCCCACCCAGTAGCCCCTGTTATCTGTTGGTGCCATCTTTATGTCCCTGTGTACTCAGTGTTTAGCTCCCACTTATAAGTGAGAACACGAGGTATGTGGTTTTCTCTTCCTGTGTTAATTCGCTTAGGATAATGGCCTCCAGCTGCGCCATGTTGCTGCAAAGGACATGACTGGAATCTTTTCTCTCAACCGGGCAGCTACAGGCCAGCCTCCTCCCTGGCACCGGTCCACACTTCCTTTAACTTTGTAGCTCAGGTGCCCAGGGAAGGGGCCCAGCTGCAAGTGCAGCCACGCCGCTCCCCTCCCCAAGGTCTGACCAGAAAGAGTTACGCTGCTGACCCAGGGCCTCAGTGTCTTCCACTGCCCCAGCCCAGCTTCTACATCCCCCCTCAACTTGGTCTTTCATCAGCATTTCTCATGGGCAACGCTTGGCATGATGCCCCCTTCCAACAGCTGCCCCCGGGCAAGAAACAGGGGAAGCTGCTCCTCCTCCCCACATCCCAGCACTGAGCCTCCCCTGGCTGGTTGGTAACAGCATGGAGAGCCTAAGGAAGGAAACAGGTCTTTCCAAAAGTCCTGGCCTTCCAAAAGCTCACTGTCTAGTGGGCACGGTCTCTCTCTCTCTCAACAAGGTAAAGTCAAGGCTGGGTGCGATGGCTTACGCCTGCAGTCCCAACACTTTGAGAGGCCAAGCTAGAAGGGTTGCTTGAGTCCAGGAGTTTGAGCCTAGGGAGCTGAGATTGCACCACTGCACTCCAGCAAGGGTGGAGGAGCAAGACCCTGTCTCAAAAACAAAAAGTAAAGTCAGATGGTGACTCACCTGTGTCAAACCTTCAGGGCCTCTCACTGCCCGGCCAGGCGTGGTAGCTCACGCCTGTAATCCCAGCACTTCGAGAGGCCGAGGCAGGCAAACTGCTTGAGTTCAGGAGTTCAAGACCAGGCTGGGCCATGATAAAACTCCAGCTCTACAAAAAATACAAAAATTTGCCAGGTGTGGTGGCACACGCTTGTAGTCCTGGCTACTTGGGAGGCTGAGTTGGGAGGATTGCTTGAACCTGGAGGGTCGAGGCTGCAGTGAGCCAAGACTGCACCACTGCACGCCAGCCTGGGAGACAGAGATCCTGTCTCAAAAAAAAAAAAAAAAAAAAAAAAATCCCAGAAGGGAACCCACTCACCTTATAGCCCTCAAAGCCTTCCTGCTTCTGGAACCTCCCCCAACTTCCCTCAAGCCATGATGGGTGCCTTCCTGTAGCTCAAACCTGCCAGGATCATTCCCATGTCAAGGCTACACGGATGCTATTTGCATGCCCTGTTCCTGGAAAATTCTTCCTCTGACGGTCGCATGGCAGGCTCTTCAGGGGCCTTCCCTGACTTTTCTTACTTTATTTGCTTCATAGCACCACTCACAAACTTCCTACATATACATTTATTTGAGTTTAACGCTTCTCTCAGCCACTAGAACGCAAACTCCATGGAGAGGCAGGGACTTTGTCCTGTTCAACTCCAAATCAACCGTGCCTGACACAAATAGATGCTCAAGAAAATATCTGGATGGGACTATTATAATTCAGCCTTAAAAAGGAAGGGAATTCGGACCCATGCTGCAACACCAATGAACCTCGAAGGCATTATGCTAGGTGAAATAAGACAACCCCAATAGACAGACACATGCTGTGTGAGTCCACTGAGCTGCAGCAGCTAGAGCGGTGCGATTCATAGAGACAGAAGGTGGAATCATGGTTGCCACAGTCCGGAGGAGGAGGAGGAAGGAATGGAGAGTTCTTTAATGGGAACAGTTTCAGTTTTGCAAGATGAAAAGAACTCTGGAAATTGATTGCACAACAATGTAAAATGTAACTTACGTAATACTACTCAGCCATATACTTAAAAATGGCTGAGATGTTAAGTTTTATGTTATATCTATTTTACCACAATTAAAAAAGTATACTTGGATGGGAGGGTGGATGGGTGGGTGGATGGACAGACGGACGGACAGATGGATGGACAGACAGACGGATGGATGGATGAAGAGATGGACAGATCACGTTCCATCCTCCCTCCTGGCTGAGGAATTACCAGATTATCAGAGATATCAAGGCCCTCAGAGATTGTTCTGTCCAAGTTCTTCAATACACAAATAGAGAAACTGAGGCTTTGAGAAGGTAAGGTCACAAAGAAGGCAGAGTCAAGCAGGAACATGCTCTCAGTGCCATGTTCATGAGAAGATATGACTTCTCTCAGCCCATAGCAGGCCTTGCCCTGCCTTCTCCCACTGGGTGCCTCAGGACTGCCCACACCCCTGCTCTTGGGGATCAGAGACGAGGTCTACAAGCTGCCAGCCCCAGCTGCCATGTGCTTCCTCCTCCTCCTGCAGAAGCCCAAGTACCAGGTCCGCTGGAGGATCATTGAGAGCTATCAGGGTAACAGTTACACTTTCATCGACCCCACGCAGCTGCCTTACAATGAGAAGTGGGAGTTCCCCCGAAACAACCTGCAGTTTGGTGAGATGGCAGCACACCTTCCTATCACGGGGCCTGTGGGGGTTGCGGGGAGCCCGTGGGCCCTTGGACCTAAGGAACCTGTGTGCATGGCAGGTAATATCCTCGGAGCCGGTGCCTTTGGGAAGGTGGTGGAGGCCTTGGCCTTTGGTCTGGGCGAGGAAGATGCGGTGGTGAAGGTGGCCGTGAAGATGCTGAAGTGTGAGTGAGGAGGGGGGACGAGGGAAGGGGTGGGAGGTGGTAGATGCTGGGGGTAGGCTGGCCCTGGTGTCACAAGAGGCATTGCCCACATTTCAGCCTGTTGAAGCCTGGGGGACAGAGCTAAGAGGCAAGGACTTGGCTTTTCTTGTGAGCTCCAGGCACCTCTGACTCCTGGCTCCAAGAAGGTCTAGGTTGAGCAGGCACAGTGGCTCATACCTGTAATCTCAGCGCTTTGGGAGGCCGAGGTGGGTAGATCTCCTGAGTTTGGGAGTTCGAGACCAGCCTGACCAACATGGAGAAATCCCATCTCTACTAAAAATAGAAAAATTAGCCGGGTGTGATGGTGCATACCTGTAATCCCAGCTACTTGGGAGGCTGAGGCAGGAGAATTGCTTGAACTTGGGAGGTGGAGGTTGCGGTGAGCCAGGATCACGCCATTGCACTCCAGCCTGGGTAACAAGGGCAAAACTCCGTCTCAAAAAAGAAAAAAAAAAGGTGTTGGTCACCCTTTAGGTGTCAAGGGGCTTCTGATTGAGCTCCAAAATGGCTGGGGGTACAGAGAGGCCACCTAGGGGCATGGCCTGGCCACAGTTTGGCTTCCTGTCACTCAAAGACCAGCTCAGTGACAGGCCCATCCCTCTTCTCTCCCATCTGTGTGTCTGCGTTTTTCCTTCTTCTTTTGGCCTCTCTGGGTCTTGGGGTACCCCCTGCTTGCTCCCATGGGTCTCTGCATTTGGACCCCATGTATCTGTGTGGTGCTATGTCCCCTGTCTGTGGAACCTGTGGTCCTTTCTCCCAGCCACGGCCCACACGGATGAGAAGGAGGCCCTCATGTCCGAGCTGAAGATCATGAGCCACCTGGGCCAGCACAAGAACATCGTGAACCTTCTGGGAGCCTGCACCCATGGAGGTAAGGGCCTTGGTGTGCATGGGGCCAAGGTCTTGGGGCCTATGGGGAATATGAGGGCCCCAGGGCCACCTTGCTCCATCTTCCCCTTCTCAGGATCCTGTTGCTCTAAGTGCCAGGGGGATCCTGGTCTCAGCATTCCTTAAACTCCTGGCCCCATCTCCTGGACTAGTCAGGAGCTGCACGGGCAGCTTGAGGCATAGAGACTGATAGGTAGCATTGGAGCCCCTGGAGAAGGAGATGAATGTGAGAGCTCCTGGGCCCCTGCTTGAACGCCTACTTCTTAAGCCTCCATTCAACAATGCTTCGACACTCTCCCCATTGCCAACAAAGGTGCCCCGGGCTTTGTTGGGACTCTGAGTGCCCCACATCCTCTTCACCAAGAGCAGCTCTGACCTGCATTGAGCTGCCATAGTTTTCCTTTAAAGAAATAATTCTTGGGCTAAATTTTTGTTTAAGGTTGTCTGTTTTAAACAGATGGAATGACTGAGGCACAGGGAAAATTGCTCACAGAGCTCGGGTTAGAACTCGGCTGTGCCAGGTCCTGGTCCAGTGACCTCACTGCCCCAGACCCATGCTCCTGTTTGCGAAAGGGAGCTCTCAGCACCTGCCTCACCCCACATGCTTGGCTGCTCTAGGCCCTCTACTGGTCATCACAGAGTACTGTTGCTATGGCGACCTGCTCAACTTTCTGCGAAAGAAGACTGAAGCCATGCTGGGACCCAGCCTGAGCCCTGGCCAGGGCCCTGAGGGAGGTACCGACTATAAGAACATCCCCCTGGAGAAGAAACGTGTCCACAGGTAGCCCCTGGCAAAGGACAGCAGAAATGCCAGGTCTGGGAGGTGGGACCCAAGTCTGTCTTGAAAGCCAGCTCAGGATGGGGTGGCTGTGTGGCCCTCGACTGCCACCTGTGCCATGGGAAGTAGCCACCACAGGTTTTATGGGCACCTCTGTCTCTCTACTCCCTTCATTCAACAAATATTTGAGCACCTACCATGTTGTGGGAGGGTAGAGGGCAAAGACAAGCAGCTTATGGTCTGGTAGAGACGTGTCAATGAAATCACCCAGTGTGTGTAAAAGATCAGCCAAGATCTGTGCCTGGAGCCCTAGTCAGAGATGGGCAGATGTGGCCAGGCGCAGTGGCTCACGCCTATAATCCCAGCACTTAAGGACGCAGAGGCGGACGGATCACTTGAGGTTGGGAGTTTGAGACCAGCCTGACCAACATGGAGAATTCCCATCTCTACTAAAAATACAAAATGAGCCAGGCATGGTGGCACATGCCTGTAATCCCAGCTACTTGGGAGGCTGAGACAGAAGAATCACTTGAACCCGGGAGGCAGAGGTTGTGGTGAGCTGAAATCACACCATTGCACTTCAGCCTGGGTGACAAGAGCAAAACTCGGTCTCAAAAAAGAGAGAAGGAGATAGGCAGATGTGGGGAGACGTCACCCGTTTCTCCCATAGCCTGTGCTGACGATGCTGCAGAGAACCTGTTCCACTTGAGTCGCCAACACCAGTGTTCCACATTGCCATGGGGGAGTGGGGACAGGATGTGTGAATCGTTGGGTAAGAAGAGACAACACAGCGTGACTGTGGCCAGGTCCCCGGCCCACTTGGACCTGTTTCCCCAGCCAAGCTGTCAAGAGTGTTGAACCTCTCAGGGTCTTTCCAGTTCTGTTGTTTTGTGGCGCTGTGACTCCTGGAAGCCATCCAGAACAGAGCCATCCGATGGACAGAGCCACATGGGGAACCAAAGAGAGGAAGTGGAAAGATTCGTGTCACACATGAGTCAGGGGCAGAGGCAGAGTGTGGACTAGAATCCTGCCCTCTTGACTTCCAGTCCAGCGTTCACACAAACCACACTACTGTCCTGGAGGTCTCTGTCTCAGGGGCTTGTGGGGCCAGGGCAGGATCAGAATGAGAAGGGTGTACACTGTGCCCTCATCCTAGACACTGTCAGCTGCCACGCCTGGGGAGGCAAAAGGGAAGGAGCCCATCTCTTCACCCAGGGTCCTAAAAAATGGGGCCTCCTTCCCCCATTTTTCGCTTCCTCTTCTGATTTCCTGATACTTCTATGAGGGTGGCACACAGTAGACCTTTGAAGATCAATCAAAATGAGCATCAAAAGAAGTTATTAGCTTCCCTCTTCAAATACACAGATGGAGAAAGTATTCCCAGAGTGGGTAATTTTGAGGGCACATGGTCTGTGAACCAACTCTGCCAAAATGATCCCAGGCTACGTTAATAGAAGTATAGTTTCTAAAACAAGGGAGGGGAAGGTCTTGCTGTGGTCAGATCATAAATACAGCATTGGCTTCTCTTTCTGGGAACACTAGAGTATGGACGTTGTCAAGGTGCACATCTGTAGCACAGAGGGGATGCAAGGGAGAGAGATGCTATCTGGTTGGAATGTGAGGGGCAGTAGTGGCGGTTCAGTCTCCAGCAGTGCTTCTCAAACTCCACCCCAAGTGTGCTCTCATACGTATCTCTTGAGGACTGCTGGAAATGCACCACCTCAGGCCCACCCACCCAGGCCTGCTGCTTGAAAATCTGCATTGCAGATTCCGGGGTGATTTACCTACACATGAATTAGAGTTTACACAGCACTGCTCCAGACCAGTGGGCCTCAGCTTAGGGGGCACTTTGGGATCACCTGGGGAGATTTAAATCTGTGAATGACTGTTTTGCCCCTAGAGTTTCTACACTATTAGTAATTACCCTGGTCCTAAAAGGTCCCGAAGTGATTTTAATGTGAAGCCAGGGGTGAGAGGCACTGTGTCTAGAGAAGAGAGGACTCAGAAGGGGCCCTCAAATATGCTCCAGTGCTAGAGGACTCCAACTTCTCTGTGGCCCTTGAGGGTAGAGCAACGGTCAGGAGGAAAATCTCAGGGGCAGATTGGCATTAGGAAGAGTGAAGAACTTTCTCACAGGCAGAGCTGCCCAAAACCACAAGTTGTAAGCTCCCAGACTGGGGACAGCCAAGCAGAAACCAATGCTCGCTCGGATGGAGTGTGGCAGGAGGGCTTTTTATCTGAAAGGGACATTCCTCTCACCATGGGGTGGTGGGAGGCCAAGGCCTGAGCTGAGCAGTGCAATGATGGGGGCTGACCCCCACCCCCAACCCTCTCCTATGTAGGGACAGTGGCTTCTCCAGCCAGGGTGTGGACACCTCTATGGAGATGAGGCCCGTCTCCGCTTCTTCAAATGACTCCTCTGAGCAAGGTAAGGAGGTCCCAGGGCCAGGCCCCATTTGCTTGATAACAAGGAAAAAAGGGAAGGGCTGCTAGGACAAAGGGTGGGAGTGTGGCAGGGCTGCCCTTACACCGCTTTCCACCCCAGACCTGGACAAGGGGGATGAACGGCTTCTGGAGCTCCGGGACCTGCTTCATTTCTCCAGCCAAGTGGCCCAGGGTATGGCCTTCCTTGCTTCCAAGAATGTGAGTAGGAACCTGACCCTGACCCTGGCTCGTGGCCACCCAGGTCTCTGTTCCCGGGAGGCTGCGTGAGTAAGGATGGGGAGGCTGTGAAGGGGTAGGGAGGAGACAGAGGGCAACAGAGTCATTTGGGTGGCAGCTGCAAGGCTGAGTGGGAGAAAGCTGCGCCCGAGGCTGGGCACCTGTGCCCCCAGTGTGCAGACGAGGAAGGGTACCAGGCTTTATTCATTTGCTTTTACTAAATGGTGCAAAAGAAACCACAGTTCTCTCTTCTCATAGAGCACATGGTCTGGCGAGGATGATAATGGGAGCTTCCTCATAGAATTTTGAGGATGTCAGATGATGTATAAAGTACGCTCAGCCTAGGAAGAAGTGCCCAGGGAATGGGAGTTCTTGCCGTCTTCCTTAGAACAGATTTGGGAGTCAATGGTTGATTGCTGGCTCTGCCATCTGCTCTGTGACTTCAAGCAACTATTTAAATTCTCTGTGCCTCAGTTTCTACACCTATAAAAATGAGTGTTAATGACTGTTTGAAAGGAAAAAAGGATTCAATGTGTGCAGAGTTTAGGGAAGGGCCTGGCAGGGAGCAGGTGCTATGATCAGATGTAACGGCAGGGTTCAGAGACTGCTCTCTGCTCAGGGGCCTGAGTGGACTACTCAGCGGACAAAGGGCAAGAAGGGCCATGACAGCTCAGGGTATCGGGTGTTTCTAGGCATTAAATGGTCAGACCACACTCCATGTTCTCAGATCCTGGGCCTTGGTCGAAGGCATAGACGCGGGTTTGTGATAAAGGACCAAAATTGATGTCCACTCCCTCAACGGGGACTTCAAAGCCGTCTGGGGCCCTCCCTGACATCTTCCTCAACTCAGGCTCAGGTAGGAAAGGACCCAAGACTAACCCTGTGGTGCTTTTCCTCAGTGCATCCACCGGGATGTGGCAGCGCGAAATGTGCTGCTGACCAATGGTCATGTGGCCAAGATTGGGGACTTTGGGCTGGCCAGGGACATCATGAATGACTCCAACTACATTGTCAAGGGCAACGTAAGTGCTGGGAGGGTGTGAGGGCTTGGGCCAGGCTAGGGAGGGGGTAAGAGTCAGGGCCTGAAATAACTGGGGACTGTCATCCCAGGCCCGCCTGCCTGTGAAGTGGATGGCCCCGGAGAGCATCTTTAACTGTGTCTACACAGTTCAGAGTGACGTCTGGTCCTATGGCATCCTCCTCTGGGAGATCTTCTCACTTGGTGAGCCACTTGGCCCACTCCAGGCAGAGCCTGGAGCTGGCTCCTCTGGTTGTCCCACTGGTGGACAAAGATGCTTGGTGCCCAGGACACAGTGAGGGGTGGTGAGAGTGCAGAAATGGGCAAGGGCTCTCAAAACCCAGCATCACGGCTCCTGCGGGGCTGGGCCAACCCCTGCCCTTGACAGGCACTCCTTTCCGGCTGTTTCCTCATTTGTCTCTGCTCGGGCAGTTGCTGCTCTTACCCTCCCCTTGTCTGAAGTCCACAGACCCCTGAAAATGCAGCTCTCTACTACTAGGCTCTAGTAGAAAGAACTCCCATTTCCTGAGGACTAGGCACAGGGACTTGTACTCAGTCCACAAATGTACTGCTCCAACACACTCATAACTTACCTGCCTGTCCCCACTTTCATGATACGCAACTGAAGCTTTGGTCTGATCCCAAAGCCTGCACTAGAATTCTTGTTTGGTGTGGTAAGGCCTGGCTGGAGGCTCACACCTTCCTAAAGCCTAAGCCTGCCGCACAGTGGCTGGCACACAGGAAGCACTGGCTAAGAGCAGCTGCTGTTGCAGTGTCGTCAGGTGGAACCCTTCACACCCAGTCACTAAGATGTGCGTGGGTGTGCAGGAAGGGGGAGAAGGCAGTGAGCACGGCCTCTTACCTGACCTTGGCCTTTGCAGGGCTGAATCCCTACCCAGGCATCCAGGTGAACAGCAAGTTCTATAAAATGGTGAAGGATGGATACCAAATGGCTCAGCCTACATTTGCCCCAAAGGATATGTAAGCAAAGGGATCCCCGGGAGGGAAAAGGACAGCCCAGGCTTCGCTGGAAGGGGATGGAAGGCCATGTGGTCCTGGTCTTTCCCTGTCCCAAAGGTTCTAGGGTCAGGCTTTCTCTCTCCCGCAGTGGACACTACAAGCCCCTTTTGAGTTTAAGGTATGGGGGATGTTCTCAGAGAAGTAGCTCTTCACTAGGGCTGGTCCTAAATGACCACTTTTTGAGACAGTGTTTTGCTCTGTAGCCCAGGCTAGAGCGCAGTGGTACATGCGATCAATCATAGCTTACTGCAGCTTCAAGCTTCAGGGCTCAAGCAATCCTTTGGCCTCAGCCTCCCAAGCAGCTGGAACTATAGGTGTGCACCACCAAGCCCAGCTATTTTTAAAAAAGTTTTCAATAGAGATAGGATATCACTATGTTGTCCAGGCTGGTCTTGAACTGCTGGACTCGAGCAGTCCTTCTGCATTGGCCTCCCAAAGTGCTGGGGTTACAGGCGTGAGCCACTGCACCTGTCCCTAAACTCAGGCTTTTAACAGATTGTTATTACAGTGACCCTGAGGATACCAAAATGGCCTCATCTGTCAAAATGAGGGTGATGAGAGCACCCTTCTGCAAGGGTTACTGTGAGGATTAAATGATAAAGCGTGCCAAGGACTCAGCACAAGTTTTATACTAAACTCATTTTTGACTAGGTCTGGGGACCTCTGCTGAGTAGGTCTCTCTAGGGGTGTGTATTAATAACCCCCGGACCCTAGGGAGCGGCACATGGGCATCCTCTGTCCTATCTCTAGATACAGCATCATGCAGGCCTGCTGGGCCTTAGAGCCCACCCACAGACCCACCTTCCAGCAGATATGCTCCCTCCTTCAGGAGCAGAGCCAAGAGGACGGGAGAGAGCCGGTGAGTGGGGCAAGGCTCAGGGTCGGTGGCCGGTAAAGCAGGTTGGGCTGAGCCTGATGGATCCAGACAGACAGTCTCTGGTCTCTCCCACCCCCAGGACTATACCAATCTGCCGGGCAGCAGCAGTGAGCCGGAGGAGAGCTCTAGTGAGCAGCTGGCCCACTTCGAGCAAGGGGATATTGCCCAGCCCTTGCTGCCGCCCAACAGCTATCAGTCCTACTGAGGAGGCGATGACAGGGAGCACCATTCTCCTCTCCTCCAAGCTTCAACTCCTCCATAGACGGGACAACATGGGGAGAACATACAAACTCTGCCTTCAGTCATTTCACTCAACAGCTCGGCCCATCTCTCAAACTTGGGAAGGTGAAGGATCCAGGGGAGATCAGAGAATCCCACTCCCTGAGCATGGGCCATCACTGCCAGTCAGGGGCTGGGGGCTGAGCCCTCACCCCGCTTCCCCTACTGTTCTCATGGTGTTGGCCTTGTGTTTGCTATGCCAACGGAAAGACCTCCAGCCCGCTCTTAACATCCTCACTTCCAAGAACCCCCTCTCCTAATCCCCTCATCTTAACAGAATGGACTGACTTTATGCCTGTGAAGTGCCTGGGAGCTACACTGATAGGCTCCTTGAACGAGACAGACTGGCAGAGAAGCGAGATCTCCCTCTCAGAGAGGAGCAGCAAGAGCGGCAGGCGTTCACACACCCCACTCAGCTCAGGCCCCTTGCAGCAGGGTGGCTGCTAGGAGGTCACAGGACCTCCTAGTCTCTGCCCTATGAGCCTTTACTCCACAGCCCCACCACCCCCAGCCCCGATCTGGTACTGCTGTAATGAGCCAAGTGGCAGCTAAAAGTTGGGGGTGTTCAGCCCAGTCCCGTCATGCTGGGCTGGAAGGCAGGGGACCTTGGCATGTGGCTGGCCACACCAAGCAGGAAGCACAAAGTCCCCCAAGCTGACTCATCCTCACTAACAGACACGCCGCGGGATGTCCTTGTCAACATTAAACTAACAGCATTACTGCAGCCAGCCTCTGGTTCTTTGTGCCACACAAGTGCTTGCACATGCCCTGGGACTTCTATCCCTCCTTCCCATGAAGTGATAAGCTCACATCTCTGCGGCTTGACCACACTGTGCCCCATACAATGTACATGGAATTGACTCCTGCTTCACCAAAACCAGATAATTTAATAAACTTTATTCTTGTTGGGGGAAGAGGGAGGGGAAAAAAGCCACCTACTCCACTCCTCTCAATAAATTAACACATGGCCAATTCCCAGGCCCTAAGCAAACCTTGGGCACTTGAGCCAGTCCTGCTGTTTACTTATGGCCCAGTCTGCTTCCCCTTCATAGAAGGGAGTTTTTCTACTGCTGCCAGGTTATGTCATGACCATAGACCACATCCCCTCTTGTGGAGAGGGTCCCAGGCCCAGACAGGATGTTGGGTGCAGCAGCAGTGGCCAGGGAAAGGAGGGAGGGGATGCTCTTCCTCAAAGCTTAGGGCAGAGAGGACAGTCCTGGAAGAGAGCTGTGGCTGTTTCTCCATCCTCAGCTTCCCCTAGATGTGGGTACAGGAAGAGCAGGAGAGAAATGCATCCCTCCTTCAGGGAGAATCAAGAGCCCAAAGGGACCCCTAGAGCTAACGAGGCCATACGGGCCCCTAGTCAAAGGCAACAGGCTATGCAATTCATGAAGCTGTGGGGGCTGAAACCAGGGCTCCTCAGCGGTGGGAGACACCTTCTCACCTAGTACTAGTGTTCATGCCTTAGCCCACCCAGGACCTCCACCCTAACCCACAGCAGGCCCCAGGGAGGCCACCAGCCTTTCCCTCAGCCTCCCTTCCCTCCATTAAACATACCATGTCCCCCAAGTGCTCTCTCAGGACCAGAAGAGGTTTCTTGGCACCGCTCCTGACCCCTGGAGGGTTGAGAACCGAGGACCCTAGGCCCCGCCATGCTCAGGGAATGGAAGCTCTTTGGTCAGTCCCAGCAGTCAGAGGCCCTTCCTGACAGAAGACCACTTCTGCAGGTCCCCTGGATAGCTCTGCCTCAGGCAAGGGCCTTACTATGGCTTGAGAGATGGTGTAGTCCCTGTACAACAGCCTGGCTTATTCTGCCACTGTGGCCGCCTCCTCTTCCTCACCCTCCTCCTCTGTCTCTGTCTTGATCTGAGCAACCCCAAGACGGTAGAGGGTGTCACGAATGACCACCTCACCAGGCTGGCAGCTCTGTACAATGTCATGAATCTGACGATTGACAATCTCGCGGCTGGTGAGGAAGTCCATGAGGCGGTTGTAGAGGTAATAGTGAGTGGCATTGTCGAAGGCAATGGGCCGCTGGCGGACACTGTTTGGTTTGCTGTCCATAATGGAGGCCAGGATGGTTGTGTAGGGTGCCAATTCAGGGCACAGGGCCAAGGAGTGGTGCCCAGTACTGGGGTCATCAGAACTGGGCTGTGTGCCTGCATGGACAATACGCCGTGTGGCAGTCTTGGTGACTGGGTGCTGGATAGAGTGCTCAGTTTCTGTCATGTCCACAGTATAATGCTGGTCCAAGAGCTCTGGGCAGGACACACTCTAGAAGAGAAATGAGAATGCATTATGACAAGAAGGAATGACTAAGGTAGAACCCATGTGGTAATGCGAACACTGTAGGCTCAGCCAGCCCTGTTTGAATCTTAACATCAGCATGTACTGTGTCTCCTGGGTCAGCCCTCACCCCGCAGTGCCTCCATTTCCTCACATGAGAACAGGGACAGTAACAGTGGCCACCTCCCAGAGCAGATGTTGGATTACTTGAGCTATTATTGTTCCCAGTCCATTCAGGCCAGGGGCTGCAGGGGAGCAGAAAGGTCAGGCTCTGACGGAAAGTAAGACTCCTTTCTGGGGTCCCCGGTATACTCATGGAGCCAGTGAGCCCCAGGGAGTAATGACAATGACTCCTCCAAGGCAAAGCCAGAGGCCTTCACTTCCCATAATGCATCCTGGCTGGGGCACTCGACCCTTCTGATTCTTCCCTTCTTCCTAATTTTCAGTTCTAGTATCTATTCCAGCAAAGGCCAAAGGCTGGCCTGCTGGCTTTGGAGGGTACATGACTATGAGAAATACTGTCTGGTGCAATATACCAAGACACAGAGACAAGGGCTCTGCCACTGATCTGCTATGTGACTTGAAAAAGACTATTTCCCCCTCTGGGCCTTAGTTTTTCCCTTTTAATAAAAGGAGAGGGTTGGATAAGATCAGTGTTTTCTAAACCAGTGTGTCTTCAGATCACAACAGGCATGCCATGTGGGGTATTCATGGTCAACTAAATGTAAGACACGGTGAATTAAATGTACTCCAGGGCTGGCTGGGGCCTTTAATATGTCAGTGTGCACAATGACTCTCAAAGGTGGCAACTTTCTAGGCTTCTCTGGAAGGCAACCTCTTTTAACACAAGGTACCTATGTTTGGGATATCCTGGGCACACTAAGTGACATGCTGTGGCCTCAAACAGAGGGCTTGGTCTGTAAAAACTTACAGAGTAGGCTGGGCATGGTGGCTCACGCCCGTAATCCCAGCAGTTTGGGAGCCTGAAGCACGTGGATTGCTTGAGCCCAGGAGTTTAAGACCAGCCTGGGCATGATGACAAAACCCCATCTCTACTAAAACACAAAAATTAGCAGGGCGTGGTGGCGCGTGCCTATAATCCCAGCTACTCGAGAGGCTGAGGCACAAGAATTGCTTGAACCTGGGAGGCGGAGGTTGCAGTGAGCCGAGATTGCACCACTGCACTCCAGCCTGGGCGACGGAGCAAGACATGTAGGCCTGGGGAGACATGGCAGTTCCTCAGGAGGCGACTCACCACAGGTGGCTCTGTGGGGCTAGAGAAACAGCCCTGGTTCCTCCCCCACATTTGGTTGGTCAGCTCTGGGTAGCAGAGGTCAGCACACAGGGCCACTGAGGTGGCCAGATCTACCACATAGACGGGTGGCCAGTGGCGGGAAGAGGCAAGCAGGTCCACATGGTCACGGGCACTCTCACCCCGCACAAGATACTTGGAACCGCAGACCACCTGGGAGAAGAAGAGTGTGGGGGGTGGTGGGGGGGTGGCACAGGGTTAATTAGGAAGCCGGTCTGCAGACAGACTGTGTACAGTTCTCACTCACCCCAGGAAGATGAGTAATCGGCTTCATGGGTGAAGCCATGGCCATCCTGCTCCCTTCCTACTTCTGTCCTTAAATGAAGTCACCAGCTCATCCTTGCTCTTCTTAGAGACAGCTGGGAGAATCCTGTCCTCAACTTAGGCACCTCAGAACATCTTTCAAAACCTTACTCTCTCCACATCATCTACCAGTTCACCACACTAGCTAAATAGCAGCAGCAGCAGCAGCTAAGAGCTGGTTAAGAATGGAGATGCCTGGGCCCCAGGCCAAACCTAAGAAACTAAGGTCTCTGGGGTGGAGTCTAAGCATCTATATTTTGAGCAAGCTCCCCACCAGACCCCAGTGGGCTTGTTGCTCAGATGGGAACCTACAATGTAGTCTAGTAAACACCTCTACTGGCAGGGCCGTCCAAGCACCATTCCACAGCTCTGGGTATATCCACGTGGCTGTCACCTCCAAGTGATGTCACTCCCATCACAGCCCCCAAGATCTACAACTATCCCTGTGCTGTCGGCCGCTTCTCATGAGATGATCCCCGGTTGCGTGAACACAATCCCCCGAGCAAGCTCTGATCTGCCCAGGGTAGAAGCATGAGTATCTCTTTCAGACACAGCTCGTTAACACAGTTCCTCGTTAGCTAGGAACTGGATTCTCTTTTTACAGTTAGGGCCCCTGCTAGCTCAAGTGCTTCGGTGAACTGAAGGCTCTGCTAAGCCACATCTCTCCTGTTCAGTACCTGTTAAGTGGGGTTTCTGTCCCAGTATCTTCCTGGGCCCACTCTGTCATCTAGCACATAACCTGTCCCGGTGCTAACCCAGTGCCACTTTGTCCACACCCTTCCACAGGTTTCCCATTCAAAGTCATCTAAAAGGTCCCTCATCACTCAGAATAAAATACAAACTGTTACTCTGGCCTAGAGAGCTCTACATGATCTGACCCCTGGAGGGCCCTCCAACCCCCGTCCTCTCAGCTCACTCTGTTTTCCCACTCATGGCCACTCTGTTTTCCCACTCATGGCCTTGGTGGTCCCTCAGCTGTGACACTCCTTCCCTGGCTTACCACTGGGCTCCTCCCTATCCTGCAGGTCTTAAGTCTTCTCTGCCACCACAGACAGCAGGTTCCTCTGTTACTTTTTATCTTAGGCCCTTATCTAATTTCTTCAGAGCTACTGCCACAAGCTGTGGTGACTTTATTTCCCTACTAAAATACACAGTCAACCAGGGAGGAATGACATCTTTGCCATTCTTTATACCAGCTGGCCCTTATATCCTCAAGAGCTGATGCCCAGGATGTGGCGGGGTGCTTAAAAAATACTGACAAAAGACCCAGCCTCCCTCCCTAGCCCTCGGGGTAGCATCTGACTTCTGGGCAGCTATGCCAGAGGTTGCCTGGTGACCTAAGTCCAGACCCCAAAACTGAGCTGGATCAGCCTCTGTGTGGGAAGTTCAACATTAGCAAATTTACTGCAAGCTCCTCCTTGTTATTTTCTTACCTGATGGGGGCACACCTTGTAGATTTTACCACCTGTGAAGTGAGGTGGGGGCTGTATAGCTCTAGCTCCATTCTGTACAGATTCGTAGAGGGCCAATAAGGAGAAGC